TTGAACCGGAAAACCGACCTTTAGCCATCCCGGAATTAAGGACGCAAGTCTTGTCGAAACAATTTAATGACATTCAGTTATGTAACGACAACAGAAACAACAATTAAGTACGCTTAGGTAAGAATGTTCCCTCATGTGAAATCCGCACCACCATGCCTCAATGGGCTTACGTCACGTATTTTTATTTCGAACATTCAAAACTATAGTTTTAGTACGCACTTAGTGTAATCTTTACACCATCAGTTTATGGTGCACGTGTGCCATAGGAGAATTGAGTACCCTCTATTTCTTCCAATAGATACCGAGTCAATAAATGCCGTAAAGGGCTCCTTTTATAAATATCAATATGCGTCAGTTCATGCTGATTCACTACTGGAAAAAATTGTTTACATTCACTATAGTTACGAACCGTCTTGTATGTATTCAGTAGAATCTTACTACTTAGTTAAAAATGACACTTCTCTATATCTAGCGGTTAAGATACCATAATAGGGCTGTACATTGAATGCGGTAATAAGTAGTTAAGATATTTTACAATACGCAACAATCTCAGCATACAATGATCTGGTGTATATTACAAAGCAATTATATACCAGACACATTCTACAATTAATATGTTACGTCTTTTAATTTGTATCTTTGACTATTTTGGCAAAAAGTGGCAGTATTAAAGCCAGATCACACTGGATTCGAGGATCGATTTTTGGCTAGGATTTGGACGTTCAGTGCCATTGCCAAGTAACTATACTGCATAGCAGTGCAATAAAATGCTTTAAAAATCTCAAAATTGGACACAAAACTTCCTTTAAGGCATTGGCTGCCAATAAAAAACTATTGAAGGCAAATCCTCCGCTAATGTCGGTCACCAGTGACTGCCATGGCGTTTAACGTGTTAATTGACGATAGCGTTAGTAGATTTTGAAAGGGATGCCAAACGGGACAACCTTCGTAGGGAATCGTGTGTGAAAGTGTCCTCGTATAGTTATAGGTACTACTTACGTCCTAATTGAGTCCATACTTCACACAATGCACCAGCTCAACACACACGAAACCTAAGGACTTGCACACACACAAACTCACGTGTGAACGAGCCGTGAAGGGCATAGACTACGGAAACTGGTTTCTCTAAGAGTAGAGGCAGCTAACTGTTTTATAACACATTTAATTTGTTCCTATTGTTTGCTGGTTTGTCTGTAAATTACTATGAAATTGTTACATGTTAATTTTATGTGACAAATAGCGCTTTGTTCGTAGTGAAGTACGCGGGAATCCCCTAATTTCGATGACGATTCTACAACTTTGAAAAAGAAATCGAGGTCATGTTATGATAAAAGTATCTAAGAGCTTTGAAGCAGGGTAGAATCTGACGCGAACTTATAGACGTAGGAATGTCATAGTTCGCATAGTAAAATCTTACCCTAAAACTCTTGCTAGACAGTCACTTGCGGCAATTGCACCACTGAGAATCAAAGATGGATCAGTGAGTAAAACTTATCATGCTATTTTTTTCTAACCAAAGAAATATGGAAGAGGGCATCATTAAACTTAAATATGCTTGATCTTACTGGTAATCTACCAAACAATGGCAATATCAGCCAAGGCATAGATTAGGGTAATAGGCCTAAATCACAACCCATCTAGTCAGTTAATTGTCTTTTGTTTGCACTATAATGTCATCCATACAGATATATAATTATGCCAAGTAAATTGACTAGGTATGCTACACAGTAATCATAAGTTTAAGAATTCCTAAATCTGAAAAATCTTCATTTTAGGTGTAAAAATCATCAAGAAAGTGATTTAACTAGTTAAAACTAAAATACCAGTCGATACATTGAGCTTGAGAAAAGCTCCACACATGCTGTTCAAAGTCAAAGTCAAGGCATTAAACTGTCAAACACCAAGTGGTCACCGGTGACCACAACCTATTGTTCTATACTTGTGTCTATAATGACGGCACTCGACGAGTTAAATTAAGCACTTTTAAAAAAATCTAACTGATTTGGCAGTGAAGCTGATGAGATGGTTGTTCTAAAGTGTAGATTCGAATGGAGAAGAAGAAGCAAGAAACTGCATTGTTACTCTTTAAAAAAAATGTTTTTTACAAGCTCACAAATACATTATATGATCCTTACCTATTGTACCTATACATTATATGTGTGCTCATGAGGTAGAGTCCCTTGTGACTCGAAGCCACCTTAGTTAATTTATTATGTCTCATGATAGTTATATTCTACTTACAAATATAAATATGACTTTAGCAACTCTTTAGGAGAAAAAAAAGAACTGAACAATTACGTACACACATTTTATTTAGTATGACTAGTAACTTAAATAGTTTTATGTTAATTTCCATAATTTAAATAAGGACTAGGTTTTCTAGGCTCTGTGGGCGGTGTTGCATGGCATGTTACAAAAAAATCTTGTATCTCCAGCATCTTATTCATGTATAATTAGAGTCTCAAGTTATCGCAAATAACATGATTTTGAGATTTACCATGTTTTTCTTATAGGATGGGGTCAAGTAAGCAAACCAATCACAGCTGATAGGTCATCAGCGCCATCCCACGGACACCGCTAATATGAAATGAGATATTTTTTACAAAATGTGTCACTGACATAATTCCTTATTTTATTTCAAAGTAGTAACATAAAATGCATAGCAAAACAAATAATTAACTTATTTTTATTATATAATTATTATTAATAACTCGTAAGTTAACTATTGTGGGTTATTCTCGGAAGTAGCCTAAAAAAATAGAAACAGGTAATATTTGAAAGAGCCACTGGTAATTACCAAAGCTGAGGTAATAACTTTATTTAAGCATTACTAGAATATTTATTTAGTTTTCTCGATGAACTTTTAATAGGTATAGATTAAGTCCAAAACAAATACTGTCCAGTATGCCTAATTGTTAAAATATGTGTGTAATTTCATAATAATAAAAAAACAATGGTGTTTCAAATACTCTTTTCGTGTATTATACAAACAAGAGGCTTGTTGGCAGTTTGCCCAACCATATTCAAATTAAGTAGGTGTTGCCACATTATATTATTTATGTTGCACATGCAGACACAAATTGTGTTTTATTAACTCTGACAATATTCCAGTGATGTCTGGGAATTCAAGGGCAAGTTCACAGACTAAATACAGAGTAATAATATTTTTAGTACTAAATTTCAATTTTTTTTTATTTAAAACTAGCTGACCCGGCAAACTTCGTCTCGCCTCAATTTTTTTTCTCACCTTTTAAACCTTCCCTGGACTTCCACGAACATTTCAAGACCAAAATTAACCAAATCGGTTCAACTGTTCTCGAGTTTTAGCGAGACTAACGAACAGAAATTCATTTTTATTTATATAGATTTTTAACATTAACTCGTCGAGTACCGGTTTTGTAGACACAATTAAAGAACAATAGGTTGCGGTCACCGGTGACCGCTTGGTATTTGACAGTTTAATACCTACCTACATAGAAATATGTTACAAACAAAGCTACTTTCTTTGATAATAATTTGAAATGGGCACCTACCATCATATTCTTTTCATTTCTAAGCCTAATAAAAGTTTGTTTGTGTGTTGAGTGTTGTTTGCAGTAGTTCTCCATGCCGGGGTATTGGTAAAACAATTATGATAAGTGAACATATTTTACTTGGAAAATGATAGTAATCATATTAGAAATAATTGTCTAATAGTATACTGATTAGTAAATAAATGAGTAAGAATAAATATTGGCATATTTTAAAGCTAAGTTAGGCTACACAAGCACACTTTCATTGATAACAGCGCTCAAACAGGGCGGTAGTCCCGCCAGAGGCGCGGTTGCTAAACTATCACACGTCATCTCCATGCATCTCGCAAACGAGTGATAGTGAAAATATCATATTATTCTTAAAATACGCGAATATGATGTCACTGTCGCACACTCGCCATGCGCTGCCTACGCGACTTATGTCACTTTTAATCTTAGGGCCAGTCTCTAATTGCCAAGTTCGACCTCCGACATCAAAGCCACTCTACTCCACACATTTCGTAATAGGTCACCACCAAAACAATAATACGCGGCACACTTTCGAAGGGATAGGGAGTGACTTAACTTTAGCATACCATTACTTCACTATCTCTATCGCGCTTCCGAACAAAACCATAACAACAAACGAGACAAAATATTGTCAAAACTTTGTGTTAAAACTATTTACACATCATAAAACTGTTTCAAACTTAGTTTTATCGATAAATGTGTATGCAAGCAATTGACTTACCGTATTCAAGTGAACATAAATCCAAAACAGATGTCAGGGTAAGTTTACAGACGAAAACAAGACACAAAACACAGAGAAAACACCTTTTTAGATGGATGTTTAATCACAACGTGATCACTAGGGAGAACACAGCATGCACTACCACTGAACACTATAGTAAGGAACACGCCACTTTAACAATAATGTTTATTTACGACAAAAAACACACGACATCACGCAAAAATTCCAACACGTCTGCCGTATCACAATGAGTTGCGGCCATTTTGCTTGCTGTCGAAAAAGAAAGAGATGCATTTAGCCTGCCAACCAATCAAACGTTCCTTCGATCAAAAACATTATATCTATTGGTTAACTAAAACTTCAAAATTACGTTTCGTTATCGTGTCAAATAAATATTGATATAGGAATAAAATATCTCAAACAAAGCTCTCGCCTATATTAAAACTTTAAGGGACCTAATTAATCGAAAGTTGAGATAAATAATTTTTCATAAACTTGTCTAAAATAGACCTTTACGATAGGCACTCAGGGCGTCTCAGGGTAAGCTTTCTAAATTATACATTGACATTCAGATAACAACATTTTTTATCTGTACTACCTGTCAAAAATTTTAAAATAGCCAATGGGAAAAAAGCGCGACTTTTGACATAATTTGAAGTGTTTCTGTCTGTGGTTTGGGTTTTGAGTAAATTTTTTATTTTTGTTTTGGTTTTAAATTAAAAAAAATCTGAGTTAAAATGAATTTTCAAAGGAATTTTATTATATTTTTAGTGATTTTGTTTACGGTATGCCAACGTCTAGTTATATGAACACATTAAATTGTGTAAAAATGGAGTAAAATGGTTTTGGCTTTTCTGTTTCAGTTCAGCATTACAGGATCTGAATGCAGCAAGGAACTAAATAAATGGTTCAATAAGACAAACAGTATGTATTAACTTATTAACATCTTTGTATTAACAAATATACAACATTTGACAAGGGTCTCGTGACATAGGCGAAAGTCAGGGGTTACATTATTTAGATTTTTGTGTGAACCTATTACCTATTGTTTTAAAATTAGACAAAATTCAAAACTTTGACGTCCAAAAAATTTAAAATATACAAATACCCCCATTAAAAATTTATCCAACCTGGGAACAGGACCTGAGGGTCCTGTTCCCAGGTTGGATAAATTCGATAAATCTGAGGATTGACCAACGAAAAACAAAAAGGTAGCTTAACTCTCGATAAATTTTTTCAGCTTACACACAGCTTAGCATGACAGATTTACGTCATGGAGTCTCCAACATTGTTGATGAGGCCAGTGGTGTCTTCAGCAAAATTATTAGCAAAATGATAGCACACAAAAAACTTATAGGCCTGGACTCTAATTGGAATTGGTGATTGATTTGTAAAATAAATTATTTCTGAAGAATTTTTCTTTTATTGGGTACTACTCTGACACTTAAACCTAAACATAGGTGCAGTCATTTTCAATTTTTGAAATTCTTAGTAAGATTTCTCTAAAAATTAGCTTATATTTTTACCAACTTCATAGGACTTGGCCTATATTCAACAGTGAAAGTTCTGTGGACACAATAAAACAAATACTATCTTTGATAAAAAGAATATTTATTGATAATAATCTCCATTGAAAAGTGAGTCAAGAGCCTACATTCAGTATCTTGCTTCTACACTCCAAGTTCAAGTATCAAGAGCCTACATTCAGTATCTTGCTTCTACACTCCAAGTTCAAGTACTGTGTAATAGAGGAAGGCTACAATTCTTATACACCTTGCTTCTAACACAAGAATGTCGTAATGTGTGTTTATGCAAACCTAGTTTACTCTTGAATCTGCTATGGCAAATATCACATTCTAAGCCAGGTTCTGAGTGACACGAATGTTCATGTTGAGTACGTAGATATGGTGCAACAAATGTTTTGTCACAATGTTCACATTTGTATGGTTTCTCCCCTATATGTCTTCTTCTGTGATACAATAATGACACCTTACTTACAAACTTCTTTTTACATATATCACACACAAAATCCTTCTTCTTCGTATGTTTTATGATATGACTGGATAAACTACTTTCACAGCCAAATTTCTTACCGCACCAACTACATGAAAAGCTTTTACCATTTTCATGTTCAACACTTATATGCTTCCTTAATGTACATTTACTTGCATACCTTTTCTTACAATAGTCGCAAATGAACTTTGATTCTGAATTCAATTTTCTCTTCACATTACACAATTTGTGTTTAATATGATTATTAAATCCTAGTTTGCTTTTATATGTCTTCCCACATGTTTCACATATTAGTTTCAGCTTGTGACTTTGTTCATGGTATCGGAGTGTGAAATAGTTGTTAAATGTTTTTCCACATTGGCTGCACATAACATTATGGTGGCATGATTGTTTATGTTGATTCAACCTAGACAGTAGCGTGAACTCTTTTGGACACTCGGAACATTTATAATCTTTGGGTCCATGAACACTTAGATAATGCATTTTTAATTTTAAAGCTGATGGATGCAGTTTCAGACATGCCTTGCATTTAATATTATTGAGATCATTTGCATCAACTGCTATGTCGGTGAGATTTATAGATTGTAAAGCAGTGTTGTGTTTTTTTGTTTTTACCTTCAACTTATCATAGGATGGTTCTTCTTCAAACTCAATAAAGAAGTTCAGAGAATCTTTTTTGATCCTTTCAAATCTCTTGCGTAACATCATCTGGTCATTGCTATGTCTGTGTTTGTCATAATACAGTTCTGAACTAGAATTACCATCATTTAGTGCAATGAATATTGACTTGTAGTCACAGTTTACTTCCATTACACTTTCAATGTGTTTCTGAAAGGAGTTTAGCTTACAGTTCAACTTTTTAATATTATTTTTACATAGCTGAATGAATTTGTAACAGCTTATTAAAGTTTTCAAACAATTTTTACAAATTGTGCTACAAGTGGTGATGCTGTCCGATACCTGTAAGATAAAGTATATTATAAGTTTTAAAATTGGTTAAATTCTATAACACTAGAAGAATTTGAACATTTAATTGTCAAGCAAATGCAATATGACACTTTTATGTTTTCCGTAATAAAGGGCAACAATAAAACTATGATATGCAATCTCTTAGAAGTCGTTAGAAACAGTTTCAATTTTCAGCTTACCTGATGACCTAAAACACACGATATTATTTCACACAACACAACAGTACCTCCAGTGTCCATGAATATTTCATCTGTAATATTAAACAGAGTTTCTTCAATGTCTTCTGTGGCGATAAAGCACAAGGAACAAATTTCTGTTTTACCAGTAAAAACATTTTCCAGGATGTAACGTTGGATTGTCATTATTTTAGGAGTTTATCGTAGAACTTTAAGCAGCTAAAGCCTTCAAAGAGAGGTACAAGGCAGGCAACCAAATCTAATATAGGTAATCTTAGAAATTCATTAATGTTTATTCTAGGTTGAAGTAATGATTTGATAATATAGTGTTTATTTCAAAAACAATTTCATTATTTGAATAATTAGAATCCTTCACGTTTTGTTGTTATTGTGTTGTCATTGTTGTCAATCACACAGACAGAACTCTACGAGATCAACCAAACCAAAGATTAAATGAAGTGTATATTCCATAGATGTAATGTAAGTGTCAAACTTACAGCTGTCTTTCTTCTTGCAAACTTCGGTTAGCCGGGGGTTGCTATTTTAAATAATAATTATTCAGCTTGTTTTGAGGGTGATAAGTCTTTGAATAAATAAACAATTAAAAAACCACATATGACACCATTTCTCTGAATTAATGTAGTAGGTAATTTACACTGAGAAAAACCACTCACTGTTTTATTAAAATGTGGACAGTTTACATAGGTATCGTTTTATTTACAGCCGCCATTTTGTTTCCATTTCATGGCGTCAATGTTACGTGGGAAGGTGGTTCTTGAACGAAAAAATTTAAGCGCGCGGTCTGCTTTGAATGCTAACTTTTGATAAATAAAACTTTGACGCCGTGCGAGTTAATTCGTTACAATGATTGAAGAATCTGAAATAAATGCGCTAGTATCTAATGTACTGAGTGAAAATCGGTATAGCCATTGCAGGTTATGCTTAAAAGATATCCAAGACCACTATGTTCGTTTTCAAGATTCTGTATCGTTCGACTCTACGAGTTTTCAACCACTTTCTGAAGTTTTGGACGATTTGTTGGGGGATGAAGTAAGTAAAAAACCTAAATAAATAAAACGTGATAATGTTATATTTTAATAGGTACTGGCTTGTTAAACAATTCAAGTTAGTTGATACCTAATCATTCAATGTGCTCTGTGATAATTTTATAAACAACCATTATTTTTACGTCATCTTTGTGTAGAGTTCAATTTATTTACATAATAATATTGATTTGTTTTAAATTACAGGTCTGTGAAGAAATTTCTGGGATTGATGCAGTATGTATGACTTGTGTAGACAAAGCTCTGGAATGCTTAAACTTTATTAAAAATTGTAAAAAATCAACAGAAGTACTAAAAAATGTGTTTAACAATCTGACCAGCAGTTTGAATGTTGACTTAAATGCTGTGACTGCAGATCAGTCTCTGTATATAGCAGTTACTGAACAAGATTGCCAGCTTATATTGGTTAAAAATGCAACTGGAAAGAAAAAGCCAAACACACAGACTGATTCATTTGTATGTGAAAAATGCAATGATACTTTGGATGATGAAAGTGACCTGACTGCACATGAACAAAGTCAGGATAAATATGAATGTTCAGAATGCGATGAATTTAGGTGCACAGAGGAAAGCTTGAAACAACACAAGGATGCAGCACATGGAGTATATGTGTGCAAAGACTGTGGCAAGTCTTTTAAAAGTTTAGATAAACTACAAGTCCATGAACAAAAACATGTATCTAAGAGTGAGTGTCCCAAGTGTGGCAAGAGTTACAACACTAAAGGATATTTCCTTAAACATGTTAAATTATGTCTTGAAGATAGATTGGATCCACATCCAATAAGGAGTAAAATTGTGAAGACATATTTTTGTGAAAAATGTGGGAAAGGATACAGTACTCCTGGGGGACTAAGAGTCCACCATAGATTTGTTCATGGCAATGCTAAGCCACATGTTTGTAAATACTGCAATAAGCAGTTTACTGCACCCAGTTATTTGAAGGTTCATATGATTAAACACACGGGTGAAAAGAACTTCAAGTGCTACCTGTGTAGTAGACTGTTTGTCTCTAAAGAGGCACTGCTGTACCATACTAGGCGACACACTGGAGACAAGCCATACAGTTGCACTTTATGTGATGAGAGATTTGTAAATGCTTCTGCTAGAGCAGAACACATAAAATTCAAACATGTTGGACCAACACTCATGTGTGAGATATGCTCCCGCAAGTTCTTTACCCCACACTTCTTGAAGCAGCATATAAAGAAACATCATGATCCTTCCAATAAGTTATATGCTGGGAGAAGTCTCATTCCTCCTAATGTTCCTGCTGTGGAGAACATGAGAGTGAGGTTCAGAGACAGCTTAAAAAATGTAATTGTCAATCAAATCTGAATTTATCAATCAATTAATGCTTATAATCAAGCTTATTAAGTGTTTTATAGTATCTTAAGTAAGAGACATATATCTGGAAAATATAAGAGAAGTTTAAGCAGTTGTCCCAGTGCTGGTGAGGCAGCAAATTGATAATATCTCTACTGTGAATAAAAACTGGAAATAATTTTGGTTATTCACTTATATTCGTATTGCAGTACTACATTTATTGTATTGTCGCCGAATTTCAAAATTACGATGCTTGCTTGGCAGTCATCATTTACATAGTCTACCAACTGACTTGTAAACTATTTTTTCTAGTTACTTTTGCTCAGCACCAGTGGTGGGATAACAGCCAAAGGTTTGCAATTTTAATCGCTACAGGGTTTTAAATGAATGCTACCTCTAAAATATTAGTAAAATATTTTCTTGTTATTATTCAATTATTATTGTGCTTGTGCGTAATGGTATTTTAAAAGTAACTTCACTTATTAAATGAAATATACATTATCAGATTTGTCGTTTTATTACAAAAATACAATTCTTTCACACTTCAAGATTGTTTATCTTTTTAGAATATAAATATGCTTCTGCTATAGCAAACGTGAATGAATGAATAGTGTAAGGGGTAGTAACATCCAGCTTAATCTAGACATGAGCATCAGAATTGTAGCATTTAATCACATGGACAATAACTTAGAAATGTTGGGATACTGCTCTGCCTTATCATTACTATTTGCAGCCATACTCTGATATGATGAGAATGGAGCAACTGCTTCAGGCACAAACAATTTGCTGTGTGGGTTGTAATGTCTCTGTATATGCTTCCTTAACTGATGGCCTGTGATGAATTTGATGTGACAAATATGACACTCCTTTGTGGGACCAAAATGCTTCCGCTGCTTGTGTTCCATTCTCCGAGATGCTGAGAGAAAGCTTTCATTGCACATATCACAAGGGAAAGGTCTTTCACCTGTGTGGAGGCGGGTATGGTAGACTAAGGCTGCTTGTGTCACAAACTTCCCTCCACAATGTTCACAATGAAATTTCTTTTCCTTCGTGTGTTTCACAATATGATTGTTCAATCTACTTATAGCATCAAACTTTTTGCCACACCAGTTACAGGACAGAACATTCCCAAAGCCATGATCAGTTTTCAAATGTGTTCTCAAACCATTCTTTCGCACATAGCCTTTATGGCAAATATCACAAAAGAAACTAGGCTGTCTGTCATCCAGATTGCCACAAATTCTTAAATGGAACTTGAAGGTCTGCTTGTTAAGAAAAGACTTATTGCAGCGAGAACATTTATTGACCTCATGTTTATCCAGGTGCACTCGGAGTTGTTTCTTAGAAGGGAACTGGACAAAGCATAATTTGCATATAGCAGCGACATGGTGCAGTTTGTCATGTAATCTCAACATTTTTTCTGTGCTAAACATCTTTGAGCATTTTGAACAACTGATTTTTTTAGGATAATGCACTCTTTCTGCATGTTCCTCCACCTGCAGTTGTGTTGCAAAAACTTTAGGGCACTGAGGGCAAGGATACTTGGAGTTGCTATGAACCTTCATATGTTTCACAAGATGGCAGTTTGAGGTGAACTTTTCCCCACATTCTTCACACATCACACTAGTTTTAAGTTTTTTCACTTTGTAACAACTCTGCTTTGTCTTACCTATTTCTTTTAATTTATTTAGAACAGTTTTCTTATTCCTTAGAGTGTGTCGTTTTCTACTAGTAAATAGATAATGTTCATTGTCTTTCATCATGAAATATGCTGTTTGAACATTTAAGCTGATAGTTTGAGATTGATCTAAAGTTGTATTGATTCTGTTTAAGATCTTGTTCCAGTACTCAGTAGATATTTGAGATAACTTCTTGAAGAGGTAAGTGTTTATTGTCATAGTGGCACAATTCACACAAAGAACTTGAGGTAGAGAAGGTTCCTCTAGAACCTGGAAAAACAAAATGTTAAATTACAACATAAAAGTTCTTATACAAGATAACGTTTACTTTCATGATATTTGATAGGTACCAACATACTTTATAACATCCAACACAAGTTAAACTTGAAAATCTTGTCCAATAAAATTAATTTCATTAAGAGACACCTGTACAGGATGTTTTACAGTGGTAAGGCAAACATAACAACATAGATGCAAAAGTGATCTATAAAATTAACATCAACAGCTACAGGACTCGGTTAAGAACAGCGTTAAAGAAAGAACTCACGTCCAGTTCACGGAACATGTCCACGAAAGTAAGAGTTTCATTCAAATACGATCTCTGAAGTGTAACAATATCTTCTAACGATACTTCTTCTTTTTCTGTCGAAGCGAAACATAACCTACACACATGGTTAGATTCACTCGTCATGAATTTGAGAGCCCGCAATGTTATGTCAGCTTCCGGGTCCATTTCAATTTTTTTATCAAGCACTAAACCTTATTAAGTTATTAAAATTTGTTCCCCAACATGATCAGAAACAATAAATTCTTTTAAGTTACTTTTTGACAGTGACACAAGTCATAGAACATAGAGTTCGGTGTTGTTGACAGATAGTGCGTAGTATTACTTTGCTGATAGTGTTGTCCGTGGTTGTCTCTAATGTGTGGACCAAATAGTATTGTTATACATTTAATGCAAGGATTTAAGGGTAAGGAAACAAGAAACAAGCCTTTGGTGGTGATAATTGATTCTTAACAGGGTAAAATGATTCTAATCACTATTTGCAATAGGTATTTTTTTTACAAAGTTCTCTTGGCATGAATGAAGGAATAGCGAATTTAGATATCTTTTTTCAATATTCTTGGTCCTAAGAAAAAGTATCCATCAACGGTGGCATTTATCAACTTGGTTTGCGACATGTTTATTTTTTATCAATAGGTACACAAACTGAAACGTTCATTACAGTCAACAGATGATTCAATCGCACTGTCTATATAGGTACCTAGGAATCACAGAACATGTCTAAAAGTATATCAAGGTCAAATAAGAGGAAAGAGTATTTATTTTTGCTCAGTTTAAACGGCAATACAGCTCTAGTGGTGTGTGTTATCAGAACAAAACACTAATGTTTTCTATAAATTCAAAATCATCAGGATAATTTAATAATAATTGAAGGTAAGAAAATGCTTATCTATACTTAGGTACGATAAATTAGTTAAGAATACACAACCAAGTGCTGTTGTTAAACATTTCTATTTAAGAATAATTATAATTTACCTATGAAAAGGACACAACGCGCAACGGCTATTCAGGTGTTCAGTTTCAAGTCAGATGTATATTATTCACTACTATGTATGATCATTAATTACCTATCAAAGCGCACAAAACGATATCATTGGTGCTTATTTGTCAAAATGTCAAAAACTAAAATGATGCAAGAGCCAAAATAATATGGTGTATATATATTTTTATATTTATACCACCTACGCGCTCTTTTTAATAGCAGAGCTAGTCTTTCATATCTAAAATGTGTCTGAATACTATTTTTTTGAGTGTAGGTATTTCTATAAAGGTCGATATGATTGTATGTTAAGAATATTATTAAACCTTAAATAAAGTTTTTATAATATTACTTATAAATGAGAAACATAAAATGTGTTTGATTGCCTTTCTTCCTTGGATCTTTTGTAAAACATTATGGTTTTTGTGTATAGGACGCTGAAGAGTATAAAAATAGTCTACCTACAAACTTTTTTTACCTCGCATGTACCTAAATTCGTAACCAACCAATTAAAGTACGATACCGAATTATATCAAATGTTTATTATTCACAGATGGCTGAATATACACCAGTAAAGTTGTTGGGAGACACTCTAGGCCAACGGCACCGACACCTCAACTCGTTGGTGCGCGCGGCTGGAGAGAGTGGAACCACGGTCCAAGATGTGGAAGCAGAACCCGAGCAGTCTGCAGTCGACCGACTATTCAAGATAGACCTGGCCGTGTCACTCAGAGACGCAGACTACATCCTACGGAACCTGAAACACGATGACATGCTATTTGTGAGCAGAGCTCTAAAGGCCCGGTGGCTGCTAGACCGCCATGACATCATTAACCCAAAATATTTGGAAAACACTCTCTTCCCTGAAATGATTTTCCCAGCAGTCTCCAAGATGAAGCACTGGCTGTACATCAACCTGCGAGATCCCGCCAAGTGCCAGGAGTTCTATGAGTACTACAAACAGAACTCGTTTGAGTTCGCCATAAAGTTCCTCAGCCACTGCAGTAATCATTTCATACTGGAAGAGGTGCCTAAGATATTGACCAAACTGTCGCCTCACTATTTAAAAGTTTTATGTGAGAAATGCCCCACAGTCGCCAAAATATATTATGATTCGTTAGCGACACAAGACGACGTAAAGAATCGCTATCTCAAACAAGAACAGTCATACTACAACAGTATCAAATGCGTATTGAAATCGGATGCTGATGTGTTTCTCGACGTCACGGAGAACTATTTCAATCTTGATAAGTTTAGCAGATTCAGTCCACTGGCGACTGATTATATTATGCGGTACCACAGGTCTAGAGTCATAAGTAAGCTGGGGCTGTACGTGGCCCACGTATTGCACATCCCGACATTGGCTGCAAAACTCAGTGTAGACGAGTGCCAGGATGTTGTGTTGCAGCTAGCACGAGCTAGCTATTTGCAGTATTGGTTCCAGTACAAAGCAGTAGAACCGTTAATCAAGCGTCTACATCCTCAAAAGAGAGCGGCATTCAAGAAAAGAATATTTGTTTTAAAGGATATTGGAGAATGCATACAGGAATGGCCGTACCCAACACCAAAGTCACCTCCGCAATCAGATACTTCATCTCACATATTTGATGACATAAATTATACACCTTTCACACCTACTCAGTTTCAATTTAAACGTATGATAAAAAAGAGAAAGTGTGGACGATATATGGCATGTGACATTATCACTGTCGAAAATAACATGAAAACAGACTTACAGCGATTGTTTGAAGAGTTTCGTTTCATTGGTTTCGACAGGGCTCTGCACGATTTAGGACAACGGTTAAGATCTACTGGTTCTGCTGATAGGCGACGTGATATCTTCCTTGTTTTAATAAGCAAAACCGGTGGACGCAATGACGCGGTATCAGCTCTATTACAACTAGCTGCGCGGCACAGCAACGAACCGGTTCATATTCGTGCTGCCGTTGTGCGCAGTCTTGTAAAACGAGCTGCTGTGTGGCGCCTACCTGCAGATGTTTGGCAAAACTTGTTAAATTTCGGACGCGGGCTAGGGCTCGACGGAACTCCCTCTGAAGCAGCATGTTACGAGGGTCTGCATGCAGTTATAATTCGTCAGTTATTAGCAGGCGAGTGCGAACCAAAGATCATAAATGCTTTTCTTAACAATTTTTCCTCATTAAAAGAGTATTCTTTAAAAGTGGACGAAAGACTGCGTATTGCAGTGGGTCTCCAAAACTTGTTGGTAGCGGCTGCAGCAGGCATGGAGCCAGCTAGAGCGGTGGATCGTCTCAATCAGCTGCTTGATGTTATAGAAGTTTATGGCATTCAAATTCAGACTGTATATCCTGTTATTGAAATAATTAAAAGCTTAGCATTAAGTGACGAAAATGTTGTACGTCCATTGATAGAGCGTCTGTATAAAGCAAAAATTGGACGACAAGAACTGCTTCGCGAAAATTTAAAGTTACGTTGCGATGAGGCGGCCTTATTGAACGCGCTTCGTCATGACCTTTCAGCCCTTGAAACTGAGCAAATTGTAAATATAATAGCCAGAGGAGGAAAAAAATTCGACAGATTCATTTCGAAACTAGTAATATATTTTACACAAAATGAACAACTTCCAGTATACTTCAGAACCACATTACGAGAGATGATCGCCTCAGAGGACAACGAGAAAGGTAATATAATAAAACAAGTGCGATCCCTGGTTTGTCTATCGTACCAAGATTTCGAAAAAAATTTTTCTGAGGTGGATGCAATTGAGAAAAAGAATGACACTTTACGAGCAGCGCTAAGGGCTTGCGCACATCGCGCCCGGCCTGTCGTCAATTTAGCAAAATGGGGGTGGAGTAGAGCTGGCGCGAAGGCAGTGGCAACGCGAGCGATGCGCTGTCGTGAAATAGAAAAAGCTGAGTTTATCCACACATTAGCAACAGATCGGCGCACAGTTCGGGTGGCCCTAGCACTCAATTTGCGCTCTGAAGGAGAACCAGTGCTAGACACCTTCACATCAGCAGCGAAATTGCGGCCTGTTGCAGCACTGCGCGTAGCGTTGCGTTATTTCCGACATTATGACACCAAAGTTGATGTCGGTGTATGGAAAATAATAAAACCTCTTCTTTCCAATGTCGACCTATCATCCAAAGAAAGACTTCGAAATTCATTAAAAAAAATCCAATGGATTCCATCTGCAATCAAACCTGATTATTGTTCAACTTTATATTTTGTATTGGAAAAAATTTTAGACGGAGGTTCTGAAGTCCTCTTACGTGAAATATGTATACTTCTTCCTGAAGTAGAAGTTGATACAATTGAAACTATTTTAACTTGGTTGTTTGAGAAGATAGGAGAAGATGTAGTACCGCTTCCATATCCTGCAATGATGGTGAGGTACCTTATGTTGTCTACAAATGACGAAGATTTAGAGAGGAGATTTACTAAAATTGGGGATCGGTTTTTGGAATGCTTAAGTAGTCTGCGTTGTGACAAGGCCTCAGTCTTCAAAAAAAGACTGCATCAAACTATTAATAGTTTAAAATATAATGCAGCGTTTCTGGACAATAAATATTCATTGTGTTTGTCAGTTATTGAGAAGATATTAACCTGGCTTCAGACTTTGCTGCCAAAAGAAGAAAATTTTCCGAAATATGTGCAGATACATCTGACTATGTTATACTTCAGAGCAGTTAGGCAGAGCATGAAACAGATGCCAGAAGTGTTCGCTGACCCGAAGAGGAAGAGGACGGAAGGCGTGGAGGCTGTGGGCTTTGTGTTCGGGAGGTACATAGCGAAGGAGGTTGCTGAACTGGTCACTACGTACTTCGACTCTATAATAGAACTTTACACAGGGGCTCTTGTGGATTACTTAGGAGATTTTGCTGATGGCAGTTCCAGAGGCAAGTTCATAGAGTCACTATTGAAAGGAATGTTGGCAGGTGCAGAAGGTACTGAGCGGCGTATGGCAGTGTATGTGTTGAAAGACCGCTCTTATGACGTGAAAAATGAAGCTAGAAAAGAGTTAGAACGTCTATTGATTCAGGATAAATTCACTGAGGTTTTTGTGCATGCAGAATTGCTTAATTAATAAAACATTAAAGTCGATTAATTGGCAGAGTATACTCAGGAATTAGCATTTGTTTTACAAAATTTTAAGTTTAACAAGATAATGTTGTTTCTTTTGTTGTTTAAGATATTGTTGTTTTCTATTTTATAGTTTGTTTCTTGTATCTATGTATATAAATTATATTATCGTTTAAATAAATTGTACCTATTTTATTTTCGTCCTGATTTTAGATTGTGTAAAAGTTTAGTTTTTTGGTTTTTGGAAATTTTAGTTTTTTGGAAATTTTCTTGACACAGAAGCATAGATATCATATCAGTGCACAGAAGTTACATTCGGTACTGTTGTATTTAATGTAGTACTTAAGACTATGAGTAGTTTGTGTACTGGCGGCCTGCCCTCGCTTCGCACAGGAGTTAATTGACTACTTATCACTCACCAGGTTTCAGTAATTCAGGGAATTTCTTTTTTTTAGTATATAATAGCATAGCATTAAAGAATTAATACCGTTAACTTAACAAAATAGAGAATACAATATTAATAACTCAAATGAATAATATTTGGTTATCTTTGTTATCTGTGGTAGCGAAATATTGTAGAATATTGTACAGTGAACGAATTGAATAAAAGAGTGAATGAATGAAGAAGCCGGGAACACAATACTTGAACTCAAGGTCTTGATATACCTAACTCTACGGTGAGCCGTGAGTGGTCTGTGGCACAGTGTAGATTGTACAAAGTATACGGCACAGAGCATGTAATTATAGTATACGGTACCGCGCAGCTGTGTTTTGTTTACAAATTGCCGAAAGTTTATTTATGTACCCGTCCATTCATTATCTACAATTAAATTGAAATTATACAGCACATAAACAAATATACATAATATTCCTGATTTCAAAGCCATTGATTACACGGTAAGTCTTTTTTGTTGAGTTAGATGACTCACGCACTAATATTGACCACTGTTTTTATAAACATGACATAACGCAATTTTCCCCCGAATCTAGAGTTACACGTATAAATATAAATGTAACATTTAAAAAAAAATGCACTAATACAATAGGTATTTCCTGTACATCAATGATATTTAAAAACATTTTGCTTTCACCCTAATCTTATCTTAAGTCTCGAGTGACGATTTGAGCTGATTAAAGTAGTACAAAATTATCGTTATTAATAATTTAATAAAGTTTAATTTATATTTGAATATTTACATGTACTTAGCTATAGTCGTGGTTTGTTACAAAACAATCTGCCAAGTTGCTAATGAACAAATTATCCCTTTCAAATAAAACAGCTCAAAAATAATAACGCGCTTTTGTTTTAGAAGAATTCTATTGTTTTTAAGACTTCCATATCTATCAACAGATGGCTCCACATCCACCAGTCACGTTGTTGGGAGACACTCTAGGCCAACGGCACCGACACCTCAACTCGTTGGTGCGCGCGGCTGGAGAGAGTGGAACCACGGTCCAAGATGTGGAAGCAGAACCCGAGCAGTCTGCAGTTGACCGACTGTTCAAGATAGACTTGGCCGTCTCACTCAGAGACGCAGACTATATCCTACGGAACCTGAAACATGATGACTTGCTATTTGTGAGCAGAGCTCTAAAGGCCCGGTGGCTGCTAGACCGCCATGACATCATTAACCCTAAATATTTAGAAAACACTCTCTTCCCTGAAATGATTTTCCCAGCAGTCTCCAAGATGAAGCACTGGCTGCACATCAACCTGCGAGATCCCGCCAAGTGCCAGGAGTTCTATGAGTACTACAAACAGAACTCGTTTGAGTTCGCCATAAAGTTCCTCAGCCACTGCAGTAATCATTTCATACTGGAAGAGGTGCCCAAGATATTGACCAAACTGTCGCCTCACTATTTAAAAGTTTTGTGCGAGAAATGCCCCACAGTCGCTAAAATATATTTTGATTCGTTGGCGACACAAGACGATGTTAAGAACCGTTACCTCGATCAAGAACAGTCATACTACAACAGTATCAAATGTATATTGAAATCGGATGCTGATGTGTTTCTCGACATCACGGAGAAGTATTTCAATATGTTTACGAGATTCAGTCCACTGGCGACTGACTACATTGTGCAGAGACATAGATCTAGAGTCATAAATAAGTTGGGGCTGTACGTGGCCTACATTTTACACATCCCGACCCTTGCTGCGCGCCTCAGTGTCGACGAGTGCCAAGAAGTTGTGTTGCAGCTTGCGAGAGCCAGCTACGTAAAGCACTGGTTCCACTACAAAGCGGTAGAACCGCTCATTAAGAGACTTCATCCTCAAAAGAGAGCTGCTTTCAAAAAACGTGTATTTGTTGATAAAGACGTCGGTGAATTAATAGAAAATTGGCCTTACGAGGTACCTACTTCTCCGGTACGACCTGACCTCAGTGGACCTCATATTTTTGATGATTATGATTTCGTGCCAGACATTATAGAACAACCTTGTTTTCCTGCGGGCGGGTGTTCTCTTATGTCGACTGGTATGGGTTTTGGGCTTGCATGTGCTGAAAGTTGTTATCAACCAAATAATTTTTTTATGAAAATAAGGACGGATCTAGACCGACTGTTCGATGAGTTTCGATTTATTGGATTTGATCGTGCAGTGCATGAATTGAGTCAACGTTTAATTGCCACCGCTTCCCCAGATAGACGACGTGATATTTTTTTGGTTTTGGTGAGCAAAACCGGCGGTCGTACAGACGCGGTGAAAATCTTTTTGCAGCTCGCCTTGCGGCACGGTAATGAGCCTGCACATACACGAGCCGCTGTTATCCGTAGTCTTGTGAAGCGAGCTGCCGTGTGGCGCCTCCCTGCTGATGTTTGGCAACTTTTGTTAGACTACGGACATGGGCTGGGGCTTGACGGTACGACGCCAGAAGCAGCGTGTCGCGAAGGATTACATGCTGTTGTAATTCGCCAGTTATTAGCTGGCCAGTGCGAACCAGCCATTTGTGATGCTTTTTCAAAAGATTTTTCAACTTTGGCAGAGTATTCTCTGAAGCCGGATGAACGGGTATGCGTCGCCACTAATCTTCAAAATTTGTTGGCATCGACCGCTGTTGATGTTGAACCTGCAGTTGCCGCACACCGCCTAAGACAGATGTTAGATGTGCTTAACGCATTCCACGTCCGTATTGAGGCATCATCACCTGTCGTGAAAGCTGTGTTGGCTTTAGCTCTCCAAGACAAGGATGTTGCACGTCCTTTGCTGGAGCGACTTTATAATGCAAAGATAGCGCGACGAGAGCTGCTGCGCCTAAGTATGACGTTTAGGCGAGATCAAGCAGCGCTATTGAATGCGTTGCGCCATGATCCGCTCGCGCTTGAGGTGGCACAAGTTGTTGATATCCTGTATACACGCAATACTAAATTAGATAGCTTTACTGCAAAGCTAGTAGTGTACTTCGACCAAAAGCAAGATTTCACAACTCAACTCAAGAATGCCATAAAAGAAAAGATTTTAAAGCCACCGGAAGACGCATCCACCACTGTCGGCGAATATAAACGAACAATAAAAATGTTTCCACCACGCAATCGTCGTCGTGAACCAATAAGTAATGACATGTCAAATCGTTCTCAAATTACCATATTTCCGCCACAACATCCGTCATGGTTTCCACGACGGCCACGGATACCTATCTTTTGCGGTCTAAAAATAAAATTGATTCGACCATTAGCAAGTATTATCTGCCAGGAGTTAGAATTAGAAAAAGAGTTAAAAGAGTTAGATCAAGCGGGTGGCAATTATATCAAGTTGGCGATGGAGCTGAGAGCGTGTGGACATCGCGCCCGTCCTATAGTAAATTTAGCGGAATGGGGCTGGCGTAGGGCTGGAGTGAAAGCTGTGGCAACGCGAGCGATGCGCTGTCGTGAAAAAGAAAGAGCTGAGTTTATCCGCACATTAGCGGCAGAGCGGCGTACGGTTCAGGTGGCCCTAGCACTCAGTTTGCGCTCCGAAGGAGGACCAGTGCATGACACCGTCACGTCGCTTGCGAAGCTACGTCCCGCGGCAGCTCTGCGGGCTGGGTTGCAGTATTTCCGTCAACGAGGCGCCAGTGCCGACTTAGGTGTATGGGATATCATTAAACCTTTGCTGTCCACGGTCAACCTAGAACTTCGTGAACGACTCCGTCGTTTACTAGGAAATACTCACTGGATTCCATCTCCCATTAGGGCTGATTACTGTATCAATGTTTACCTTGTCATTAATAAAATGTCTAGGTCGGTTGGTGTAAACATTCTCAAAGAGCTGTACAGAATTTTACCAGAAGCTGATAAGTCAATCGATAAAGTATTGTTAGACATTTTGGACAATACCCAGGGAATGACGCCGGCCTTTTTTATACGATATTTGATGCTATCTGTGAATGACGAGGATTTGGAAAAAAGGCTACTTAAAATTGGAAACCGATTTCTAGAATACTTAAATACTCTACGCCGTGAGGAACATGGAGAATTTCATAGAAGATTTAATCAAATCTTAGTGAGTTTACCATATAATGCCGCTTTCTTGGACAGTAAGTACTCGTGCTGTTTGAAAGTTTTCGAAAGAATTTTGGATTGGATGAATACATTTATGACGAAAGAACGAAATTTTAAAGTATATACACAGGTTACCTTATTCATGTTATATTTCAAAGCAATTAGACAAAGTATGGAACAGATGCCAGAAGTGTTTGCTGACCCAAAGAGGAGGAGGACAGAAGGCGTAGAAGCTGTGGGCTTTGAGTTCGGGAGGTACGTAATGAAGGAGGTCGCTGAACACGTCACCAAATATTTTGACTCAATAATAGAACTGTATTCCAGAACTGTAAATAATTTCTTCAACCACTTTATGCACTGCAATTCTAGGTCGAGTTTTATAAAATGTACTCTAAAAGGTATCTGGGAGGAAGGAGTGGGTATCCAGCGTCGTATGGTTGTGCATATCTATAGACATCGCGGTTATTTTGACTTTGATGATGCAACGAAAATAGAAATTGAGGAGCTAATTACAAAAGAAAAGGCTATAGAATGTTTTGCTTATTATATTCCATGATTCTATATGGGGAATTGCAAAGAAAATATGGAATAAACTGTACAAGATATGATTTATAATCTAAAAATATTTATTTGTTTTTGTTAATAAAAAATATTTATTTATTCATTGAATTTTTTATAAGATCTACTTATTAAATGTTATTATTTTAATTAAATAATTATTTATTTTCTGTCCTAAAGTATTTCATTGCTCACCACCAAAAGTACGTCCACCTCGTCACACTTTTAAATGCAAGCAAAATGAAAATGACTCCTTCTTTAGCCATTTCTCGGCGGTGAGATACTTCTGTACCTATAGTGACGAAAATTACAAACTTACATCTAAATACACGGTGCGATTAAATTAGTTGAATTGAAAACATAGGTAATCATAATTACGAGCACTATTGGGACGACTAGTTCAGTTAAATTTCCCGCCAATCGACAATGTCACTTTTGTGTTGCCAAGTGAAATATTTCACAGTTGTTGCTTTATTAAAAATGAAATATACGTTGTTCTTAATAGCAAAGAAATGGTTTGATAAAAGACTAATCAATGACATTATTCAAAATTGAATTCACGTATTGTGGCATAAGGGTGACGTCATTTTATTTGGGTGTGGCTGCGAGCTGCGGTTCATTCCCAAAATAATACGAAGGTCAGGCAGCCGGTGTCTGTGTACACTCTGTGGTTATAAGGTTATGAATCACAACTCGGAAAGTGTTTTTCAACTACGTACTACGTAGCAGTGAAAATATTTTGTATTTTAATTAATCGTGGGTAATCTTGCCACTACTTGTTTTTATCAGCATTTACTAGTCAAATGACAGGAAATACCTGAACCAATACGTAGTTAGAGGTATGTAGCCAATCTGAAACAGCTATTTATGTTTGTTTATATTTTTATTTGGGACCTTGTATACTCTAGATAAGATTATAAGCTATTTCTACCTATTTTGTGAAAGAAAGGTTAATAACGTTAAAATATTAGTATTATGTGTTTTTATTTATTTCACAAATAGGTAAGTACAAATATTAAGGCCGCAAATATAACGTTCATGTCAAGGCCAAAAGATTGCCAATAAGACAGTTACATGCCCTACGTAGGTCGCAGGCCTGCAGACGGCGAGCATGGGTGGCTCGCCGCCTGACTAGAACCAGACCCGAGCGTACGGCGCGTCGCGTTCCGCGCGCGCCTCAAAGAGCCATCAGATCACCACGGATGGGGCCCAATAGGGCTGATGTCGATACCGAGCCGCGGAGAACCTAACGGGTTACCGGTGTTCTGGCTCGAAAGTGCATGAGTAGTCAGTAAGAGTCTTGTAACCCTCTCGCCTCACCCAGGCGGGGGAAGTCATTCGATGATTTCTATAGAAAAGGCTAGGTTTATTGTTTCTGTTTCGTTTTTAGTTTTGCATAACCAGCCTAGAATTAAAAAAGAGAAAAGCTAAACGACAAAGTATCTACAATAGCAGATGATAGTAAATTATATTTGCTGTAGTAGATACCTGTCTTCCTGCCGACCTATTACTATCCCAACTTATTGTATTGTTTTATTTGTAGTTTAGAAAGAAACAAATACCTAAGACGAGAAATTTTGTATAGGTACTTATTTATTTAAACTGTCAAACACCAAGCGGTCACCGGTGACCGCAACCTATTGTTCTATAATTGTGTCTACAAAACCGGTACTCGACGAGTTAAATAGGTACCTAGTATTTATTGCGATATTTTTTGTTCATTTACAGATGGCTCCATATTCATCAGTCACGTTGTTGGGAGACACTCTAGGCCAACGGCACCGACACCTCAACTCGTTGGTGCGCGCGGCTGGAGAGAGTGGAACCACGGTCCAAGATGTGGAAGCAGAACCCGAGCAGTCTGCAGTCGACCGACTGTTCAAGATAGACCTGGCCGTGTCACTTAGAGACGCAGACTACATCCTACGGAACCTGAAACATGATGACATGCTATTTGTGAGCAGAGCTCTAAAGGCCCGGTGGCTGCTAGACCGCCACGACATCATTAACCCTAAATATTTAGAAAACACTCTCTTCCCTGAAATGATTTTCCCAGCAGTCTCCAAGATGAAGCACTGGCTGCACATCAACCTGCGAGATCCCGCCAAGTGCCAGGAGTTCTATGAGTACTACAAACAGAACTCGTTTGAGTTCGCCATAAAGTTCCTCAGCCACTGCAGTAATCATTTCATACTGGAAGAGGTGCCCAAGATATTGACCAAACTGTCGCCTCACTATGTAAAAGTTTTATGTGAGAAATGCCCCACAGTCGCCAAAATATATTTTGATTCGTTGGCGACACAAGACGACGTAAAAAACCGCTACCTCAAACAAGAACAGTCATACTACAACAGTATCAAATGCGTATTGAAATCAGATGCTGATGTGTTTCTCGATAACACGGAGAAGTATTTCAGTTTAGATAAGTTTAAGAGATTCAGTCCACTGGCGACTGAGTACATTGTGCAGAGACATAGATCTAGAGTCATAAATAAGTTGGGGCTGTACGTGGCCTACATTTTACACATCCCGACCCTTGCTGCGCGACTCAGTGTCGACGAGTGCCAAGAAGTTGTGTTGCAGCTTGCGAGAGCCAGCTACTTAAAGCACTGGTTCCAGTACAAAGCGGTAGAACCGCTCATTAAGAGACTTCATCCTCAAAAGAGAGCTGCTTTCAAGAAACGTGTATTTGTTGATAAAGATATCGGTGAATTGGTCGAGAAATGGCCATACGAGACCCCCTCCTCACCAGCGGCAGAGCTGGACTCTGATTCACATGTTTTTGACGATGCAGAGCTTGAGTGTGTTTCCATGCTTGATTGCGAACCTCTATGCGGATTTGGTGGGAGCCGAATCTTGAAGCGTTCGCTACGAAATGCTGCATATGCCGAATGCCTAATGCAATGCGATGCTGAATATGATGATTGTATGGCAGTAAAACTGAAAACCGACTTGGATAGGTTGTTTGATGAGTTTCGTTTCATTGGATTTGATCATGCACTGCAAGACCTAAGTCATCGAGTGGGGTCTACAGGATCAACAGACAGGCGACGTGATATTTTTTTGGTTTTGGTAAGCAAAACCGGCGGCCGCATTGAAACAGTGACAGCTTTGCTGCGGCTTGCCGTACGGCACAGTAACGAGCCTGCCCATACTCGTGCCTCTGTAATCCGTAGTCTTGTGAAGCGAGCTGCTGTGTGGCGACTCCCTGCTGATGTTTGGCAACTTTTGTTGGACTTTAGCCACGGGCTGGGGCTCGATGGTTCGGCCCCTGAGGCGCCGTGTCGTGAGGGGCTGCATGCTGTTGTAATTCGCCAGCTGTTAGCTGGCCAGTGTGAACCGCGAATTCGAGATGCTTTTCTAAAAGACTTTTCAACTCTGGCAGAGTATCCCTTGAAACCGAATGAACGGAAGTGCGTTGCTGATAATCTCCAAAATATGTTGGCGTCGGCTGCTGTTGATGTGGAGCCCAAGGTTGCCGCGGACCGCCTGGATAAATTACTGGATGTACTAAAAGTATTTCGCATTCGTGTAGAGGCGTCTTCACTAGCTGTGAAAACTGTAACCGCTTTAGCTCTCCAAGATAAGGAGGTCGCGCGTCCTTTATTGGAGCGACTTTATAACGCAAAGATAGCACGGCGCGACCTCTTGCGCCTCAATATGATGTTCCGGCGAGATGAAGAAGCGCTGCTGAATGCTCTCCGTCATGATCCAGTCGCGCTTGAGGTCACACAAGTTGTTGATATTTTGACTACTCGCAAAAGACACTTTGATATCTTTACTGCAAAACTAGTTGTGTACTTTGATCAAAAGCAAGATTTCACGACTCAACTCAGAAGTGCATTAAAGGAGCAGATTTCAAAGCCACTTGACACAAAATATACGTATGTCAAATTAGCCCGACCATTGGCAAGTATTTTGGGTCAGGAGTTGAAAACAGAATTGAATAAGTTAGATCAAACGGGTACTGAACAACATGTGAAGTTAAAGGCTCAGCTAAGAGCTTGCGCACATCGCGCCCGGCCTATCTTTAATTTAGCAGAGTGGGGCTGGAGTAAAGCTGGCGTCAAGGCAGTGGCAACGCATGTGATGCGTTGTCGTGAAACAGAAAGAGCTGAGTTTATCCGCACATTAGCGGCGGAGCGGCGCACGGTTCGGGTGGCCCTAGCACTCAGTTTGCGCTCCGCGAGTGGACCAGTGCTTGATACCTTCACATCGTTAGCAAAGCTACGTCCCGCGGCAGCTCTGCGGGCTGCGTTGCAGTACTTCCGTCGACGAGGCGCCAGTGCCGAGCTAGGTGTATGGGACATTATTAAACCTTTACTATCCACGGTAGACCTAAAATGCCGTAAACGTCTTCGTCGATTACTCGCAAACACCGATTGGATACCGAATCCCATAAAACCTGCATACATCACTGAACTTTATTCGGCTGTGCATAAAATCTCTCGTTCCCGTGCTGATAGCTTACTCCAGGACCTTAGTAAAATCCTTCCCGAATGTGACGAATCTATTGAAAATGTCTTACTTCAAATGTTTGATAACACAGAAAAGAAACAGAATCTTTCTACTGCTTGTTATGATTCTGATTTAGATTTAGATTCTGGTAACACTGATATTGGCAATCCTGCTATTCTCTACCCAGCTATTTATATCAGATACTTGATGTTGTCTAAAAGCAATGAAGACTTTGAAAGAAGGTTTTCAAAAATTGGGATTCGTTTCATAAAACAATTAGAAATATTGCGCTCTAAAAAGGACGAGAAATTCAAGACTAGTCTGGATCAGGTTTTAGAGAGTTTACGATACAATGCAGCTTTTTTTGATATTAAAAATTCATCGTGTTTGTTAGTGATCGAAAAGATTTTGGACTGGTTGCAGAAGCTTTTGCCAAAAGAAAAATACTTCCAAATTTATGTGCAGATACATCTGACTATGTTATACTTCAAAGCAGTTAGGCAGAGCATGAAGCAGATGCCAGAAGTGTTCGCTGACCCAAAGAGGAAGAGGACGGAAGGCGTGGAGGCTGTGGGCTTTGTGTTCGGGAGGTACATAGCGAAGGAGGTTTCTGAACTGGTCACTACGTACTTCGACTCTATAATAGAACTTTACACAAAGGCTCTCATTGGTTATTTAGAAAATATGAGGTATGGAGCTTCCAGAGAAAAGTTTATTGGAAATGCTCTGAAGGGTTTCCTTGCGGATGGAGTTGGCATCCAGCGTCGATTGGCTGTTTACGCATACAGAAGGTTTCGGTATGATGTCTCCAAAGATATGGTGAATGAAATAGAAGAACAACTGAGTAAAGACAAAGTCATTGAGATATTTGTACACGCTGAGATTTATAGCTAGGTTTGTTAGTCAAGCCTGCACTAATCATTGCAATTTAACTTCAATAATTCATTTTATTTGTTAATCACTTCAAGTAAGTATTAATCCTGTCGCGCGATATACGCGAGGCAGAATGTGTTGTCTATCGAGTCTCATATATAGACGGACAAGAGGTTAATATCATCAATCTAAACGAACTTTACATAGCCGCGGAAGGCATAACGTGTTGCCGCGGCTCCGGCTCCAAGAGCTGGAGTAGGTACGGGTAGTTTTTAGTCAGTAAGAGCATTACACTTCATCTCGCCTAAACTAGGCGGAAGAAGTCATTGGATGATCCCCCTTCAAAAAAGGCAACTTCACATTCCCGTCCAGCACAATGAACAATGCATTTTGTTGTAACTTGATCAAATTAAGACTCATGTAATACTACTTATTAGTGTAGTACGCTCCTATGTTTAACCAATTTAATTTTTAATACATAAGTATTCTAAAACTGGTATTATACTAATCTAATTTACACTTGTATCAAAGTGGGATATGGGGCGTATTGTCGTCACAAATACGAAGTTATATAAAACATTTACTATTTTGTTACTATTATATTAATTTGCCATCATTGTGTAATCATGCACATTTTCTTGATATTAATGCACTAGATTAGCGTTATAATACGATATTATTTACACTCCAAATGTACGTATAACATATTAATGTAAGTACTTTTAAACTTATTTTAAATAATTAATAAAAAAGGGTAAAAATAACCAAAAAGTCAAAATATTGTTTTCAGTGTCGTTAACGTAGGTACTGTCAAATAAGTTGATTTTGGCGCGACCATCGTATTTTATGTTTAAACCATGGGCGCGACAATAATTGCTCATGTAGCCATATGTGAAAAAGAATACAGAATTCAAGCCACAATAAACTTGGAAAAGAAAGATCTGAAAAAAAAAACGAAAACTTTCGAAAATCTCTGTTTACTAACCTATAATAAAATTGTATGATTCACACAAAACGAACTTAGATGAAGCAAATTGATATTTTTTTGTCTTAGATAATATGTATTGATGAAAGCTGTTGATGTTATAAGCTATAGAAATAAAAATCCAGGAACGAGGTACTAAACCAAAAGTGTATTTGAGTGTAAAAACTAAAAAACAATCAGTATTTTTATATTCCTTTTGTATCAATTTCTGTAAATGTTACAAACAAACTGTTAATTGCAAAAAGCACAAACCTGTTGTATACGTTTTTATTTAAATAAAATATTTCAACACAATTTTCTTAATGTTTTATTAAAAGACAACTTACATCAAGCAGTTAAATTAATAACAAATAATACAACGAAGCGGATTCATCGCCAATGTAGATACGTGCTGGAGACATAGACAAGAGTAGTTTTATTTTTACAACATTACGGCCATGGCACTCTAGTAATGAAACAATTACTTGAAATAATGACTGGTAGATACTCCTTTTTAAAGATATTACAAACTAAACGTTATATTTATTGATTAAATATCCAACTGAGTAAAATTACTATACAACTCAGTTGAAATGTAATTGTTTCATTACTAGCTACACAATATCATATTTAGAGTAATTTAAAGGCCTTTGTAAGTTCTCTGTGGACTCTTTTCTAAAGACCTTATCGTCCTAAATAGTAGACATATTAACATAACATCGTGCCTTTTATCCCCGGAGGGGTAGGCAGAGGTGCACATTATGCCACTATACAATGTAACACCCACTTTCCCTATTTATGTTATGAGTCCCATGTAGGGGGTGAGCCTATTGCCATATACCGGGCACAATTCCAGAAGATTTTAATATAACTAATTTTAATAAATAAAACCCCAGTAATACTTTGCCTGACCATGGAATCGAACCCGAGACCCCTTGCCTGGCAGTCGCACTTGCAACCACTCAGCCAACGAGGCAGATAGAAATATTAGTTTTCATATAATAAACAAGAGATATTAAAAACAAGATCATAGTTTAGTAGTTTTGAATATAAGAGGTGTTTGGAAAAATCAGTTCAGTTCATAGTAATAAAGTGGAATACAGTGAAAAATAAAGCAGAAATAAATTTGGTGAATAAGTTAGAAAATGTATTTTTATGATAAAAGCAATACCTCATAATAAGGTTACATAGTACTTATTTTTAAACATCATTTTACACATTTGTGGCGAACCCTCTAATATGTAGAGGAGGCTCATAATCAACTTAACTCAAGGCTTAGTACAAGTTTTACGTTTAACGTACCTAATCGAAACGAGGCGCGCTTTGATTGGTTAGTTCATTGGAGCTGGCCAATTAGTGACGAGCGCGTAGGTACTCGTAAAACTCATATTAACAGACATCATACATCATAGAAAACACATTTCGTCTCGCGTAGAGCTGTTTTCCGACAGACGAGAGGTTAAGCCCTCTGATTCGATTGATTCTGATAAACTAAAGAATCAGGGCGCCGAATGCGGTAACGTTTCGATCCTGTTAAACGAAAAACAAACTTATTCTAAGCCCCTTGTCACAAGCAATTCATGATTCGTCTATTATACAGCTTTAGGAATTGCATATTTGTGTAAATTAACCTTTCAAAATGTATACAGTCCAGTTGTAAAATATTATTACTCATGTCTTTAGTACATCGCATTAATTAATAAATAAACTGAAATGACTGAAAAATGCACAGCCTGGAAAATTCGAAAAAGGACTTAATTCTTTGAGTATTAAAATGTAGTATAGAAAGTACATGAAATGCTGATTATAGTATAAAGTGAAATAACGCAACGCCTTCTAGAATGGGGATGAACATAATTTTATATATTTAATTTAGTAATATTTAGTTTTAATTTTATTTATGTAATAGTTGTTATTTAAGTTTTTTATTGAAATACATGCCTTCTCGATACATAATTTTGTTTTAAATTTTTAAAGCATAATAATTCGACTAATTTACCTAAATTCCCTTAAATTATATTTCAGAAAAGCACGTCATTTTTCGACAACTATAAATTACATTAGGCATACCTAATTAGGATTTCAATCTAGTTGCTACGCCTGATCCGCACAACAATACTTTTTTTTATGCGATGAGCCGGTAAACGAGCTGATGGTAAGCAATCAGCGTTGCCCATGGACTCCTGGAATACCAGAGGCGTTACAAGCGCGTTACCGGCCTTTGTAGTTGTAGTTGACTCAGGGACGGGGGAGGGGGGGGGGGAGATAATTGGCTTCAGTAACTTCACTCACACGACGAAACACAGCACAAGCGTTGTTTCACGTCGGTTTTCTGTTTGGTCGTGGTATCACTCCAATCGAGCCTGCCCATTCGTGCCGAAGCATGGCTCTCACCAAAAATAGTAATTACTATTATAGTTAATTTTAATGAGAAGTTTAACTTGAAGAATATTTAACTACGAGCCGTTTCATAAATACAATAGGTACACAATAATGTAAGACCAACAACACAAGATAATAGAAATCGAAAATTGAACTTTACACAAACAAAATAACATTCAATTTTCCTTGACTTCGAATTACACTTATAACTTTTTAACAGTTAACATTATAGATAGATTTTTTACTAATAACATACCAACAAGCATAGGACTTCCCTAATGGGTAGGCAGAGGTGCAAATATTAAATATAACACTTCAAATTTGGAGCGAAACTATTTCCTTGTTCTAGTTTCAGGATCCATATAATATGCCCAAAGCGGGAATTGAGCCTAAATCGACTAATGAAGCTGTTTTACGCAATGAGAGGTACAGTTTTTACTCATTAGATGATAGCAATAATAGCGTGAGGTCTTGTTTGTCCAATAGAGTTGATGACAATTTTTTATTTAAATGTCCGTCTGGTAGATTATTAAAAAATATTAGACACGTAGTTTTTATTTTCTTACGGAAACGAATAGTTTCGAAGATATTTTGATTTGAAATATCGCATGACGTCACTTTTGAGTACGATTTATGTTCTAAAATGACGTAGGTATGTACCTCCCACACCTAAACTTTGATTCATTTTATCTAAGTATTGTTTTCTTATACGACAAAATAAAAAAATACGTGTCTAATATCATTTCATTACCTAACTGACGGACGAAATAGGTTTTAAATATCCATATTGCATCATCATCCCTATTCCCTATTGGACGAACAAACCTCTTACTATACAGCGCCATCTGGCGACAATACAAGAAAAAAAAATATAGTCCTCATTTTTATAATTATCTTGTGTTGTTAGAGTTATAGGCGCACTATGTACATTGGCGACGCATGCGCAGGTGTACATACATACATACATACGTAACTACAATATACATAATTATATCGACTATTTCTCTTTGTTAAGTGCCTCTATGAATTCTTCTAATCTCTCCTGCACCTGTCTCACTCTCTCTGGAAATGGAAAAAGGGAAAACATATTAGCTTGTTAGGATCATTATGTCAGGATATTTCAAAAATAATGCAACTCAGGTAGAAATTGGAGATTTAAAATGAGTTTCTCAAGACACAAGCCTTAATATAATAATAATGATGGTACATAGTGTTATGTTTATAATAACAAACATAAAGATAAGTTAATGATGTGTAGTTTTCGTCAAAGTCAAAGTCAAAATCATTTATTTCAATTAGACAAGAAAGGCACTTTTAAACGTCAAAAAAAATATATAAATGTGAAGCTATTTGCTCATTCCAAGGTGTATTCCTATGGAGAAGAACGAGCAAGAAACTCCATAGGTTACTCTTTTTTAATCAGGTTCGCAATACAATTGTCCAGTTACATAGTTTTGCTGTTTGGATTGTGCGAGAACAATGTAATACCAAAATCAAGTCAAAGTCATCGATTCGATCGTAAACTTACTTTTAAATATTTGTAAGGTAGGCAAAGCTATTTACCCTCGGATCACGTTATTATTTTTTAAGGGGGAAAATAATCGAATTGCCCCATCTAGGTGAGGGGGAGGGAGTGTCAGTCTCTTATTGTATAAAAAAAATCCTGTACTTCTAGCCGGAGTCACGGTAACCTTTTACCCGGTAACTGGTTACGAAACACGTTGATTTGCAGTCGTAAGATATAAAGAAAAACAAATTGAAGAAGTGAACTCACTCAGTTCTTCTGCTAACTCTACTCTTCTACCGGATAGAAGTTTCTTTTTCAGTTCAGGATCTGCTGCCATCTGGAATGTAATAAAACATAGTTAATTATACTGCTGAAGTTAGAACGATATTACCATATGGTAAGCGCCTCATCTACAGCCTATAACTGCCCACTGTTGACCAAAGGCCCCTTCTCGAACGGAGAAGGTTTGAGCATTAATCACCACGCTTGCTCAATGCGGGTTGGCGATATCAAACTCATAATTAGTAATTATAAGTCCAGGTTACCTCACGATATTTTCCTTCACCGTTTGTTAGTGGTGACAAAATAATCTTAGAAAGTACATATAACTCTAAAAACGTCACGTTGGTACTTATCGTACCTCATGCATGAGAGGGTGCATCTTAAACCTTTGGGCGACCACGACATGCGTTGATGTGAAGCGCCTTATAAAGCTGATACATAATATAGTAGTACTAGTTTCTAGCCGCAGCTTAGCCCGCATAATTTCTCTACATCTTACTTTGAATTCGCGTAAAAGGGCCACAGATTTCGCATTTATGATACTTGTCGAGAAAAAAAATTTGAAAATAAAGGTAGTGAATGTATATACCTCGTCGAGCACCTCCCGGAGTTCCCTGTCGAGTCGCGCGGCCTCCCGGTTCCCGATCTGCTGGCGCAGCGCGTTGGCCGTGGTGCGCAGGGTCTGCTGGACGCGCCAGAACATCACCACCTCGCAGCACTCCTTCTGGAATGGTCGACGCAACATTGCTATACGGAGATAGAATATCAGGTCATGGCGACACATGTCACGTGACAAATGACAGCTCACGTACGTAATTATACCATCGATGAAAAGCAACTCAACGGCTGACATCACAAAAATTAATTAAAAATTAAAAATTATACATCGCACACCTGAAGTTTACATGCGAATTTAACACGGATAGAAAATTCCAACGAACACCTGTTGGGCAGAAAGCCCGCCACGAAAAAACACGAACACCTCGCCTGGTCGGAGGATCTTCCTTTTCTGATCTTAGGGAACTTTACTCTGAAGTATAAAAGAAATTGTAAAAAGATTCCATTTGTTTTCGTCGTCATTTTGTGTTCACAAAAGATGAACACTATAGAAACGATTTTTTTCGCCAGGCATGGTTCGAAAGCTTTATTATTTTAGCTTAATTCAGTTTCAGTACATAATACAAGAACATCAATTTTAATCTCCGAACGGAAATTTTAGTAAGAAATAAGTTAGAATCTCAGAACATATTTTTATTTTCATCCAAATAATCTTAAACTATATGTTTATCGGGACTAAAGTATAGAATCTTTACTGACCCCATTTCCATTCTGTTGACTATACAGGTAGAAACTCTTCCGACAGTCCCGGGCCCTCGTTTGTGCGCGCTGTAGGAAGTTTCTGGAAATATTACACAATACTGTTCACTGTTCAGTGAGTGACTTCACAAGGGTAGCGTATTCGGTGATATGTTATTAATGTTATTAGGATAATTTAGTATTGTAGTATCGTTTTAATTATATATATTTTATTTGCTTGTATGTATGTTTTGTCTGAGGATACTGCTATTATTAACTTTGTTTGCATGTTTTGTTTAATGTAAGTAGCTTCTCTGTCACATTAGGTTAAACCTGTAATGATAGATGTAAGTGTGGTAATAAATAAATACATAATTATTATTTTGTTACAGCCAAAGTGATGAATTTAACATTATTCATAATGACTGGTAATTATACGTAATATCTACAGAATTTGGTCAAAGTGATAAATAAAGCAGAATTAGGGCTCGTACACAAAACTGCGATGCGACGTCGCATCGCAAAAATGTGCGAGCTCCCTCTACACATCGCAAGAACTTGCGAATTGATTAGCATCGCGCATCAAAATCTTATTTCCCCAAAATCTTCTTTGTTTCTTTTTCCTGTATCTCCTAAGCAATAACAGAAGTGCACACTTCTTGTTACGATCCATGTCACGACTTACGTTTCAATTTAAAATACGTTTAGTACGGTTGACGGTCGTCGAAGGAATGTTAACCATGGGAGACACCTTGTCGCACGAAATCGCATCACAGCAATTCGCATCGCAATTTTTTGCGTTGTCATGGGTGTCGTTTTCATGGTTTTCAAGGGTGGTGAAAATGATGGCGCTGTCAAAATGTAAATACAAGATGCCCGCTGCTCGAAATTTTAAATTTTTTGTCATGTCATCTATATCTTTTTGTCATCTGGTTAAAGTGATTAATTTATCACATTGACTAGGCGATTTGATTATGTATATTTGGTTATTATGTACAGGTTGTACATATACATAAACATTGACATAGGTAACACAAATGTGATAATGAAATTGGTCGACCATGTTTGGATTTGAAGTCAGTTTAGGAAATTGGGATTTAGAGATTTGCGGATGAGGTATTTGAAGATTTATAGGCATTAGAGATATAGAGATAGGGATTTGAGAATGTGTAAAATCAATAAAAAATACATACTTCAAATAAACAGGTTTCCAAGTCTCTCTTATATAATCGTTATCGACTTCGATGCCCTTCCTCCTCAAGTTGTCCCTGACGGCGACGACTTCGTCGTATGCCAGTACTGGGCGTGCCACACCCAGCCTCTCCAGCTCTGCTCGTACTTCGTTGCGGCGGCTCTGCTCTTCTGATGTATACTGCCAGTATAACCAGCGGTCTTTTAGACCTGGACCTGGGTAGTGAGAGGGTTAAATTAGTTTAGGGTTATTAAATTAGTTTAGGGGCTATTGTCTAATGAGTCAGTATAGTAATTAGAAGAGACTTTTATTGGCTGTCGTAGACTGTCTACAAGCAGCGCCATCTATTACAATTCGGTGACAACACGACGACATGGACCGGAGCAGGCGCCGCTCTGTTTACCGAGCGGTGCGGCCAATAAGGAAAAAGGAAGATCCTGTTTTATCGACATCAACATTTTGCATTTTTTTACAACCGCCGTTTCCTTTTCTAACTGGAACGTGGAAGAAATCTCTCTCTCTTGTTTGCTATTTGCTACTTATAATATTATTGTAACAATGAAATAAACACATTAATACACATCAATAATAAAGTCAATAATTGAAGGCAACTAAAATAAAATCCTGGAAGCGAGTGCACGCATTGCCGTACATAAGCCGTGTTGACAACACACATTGGAAACCCTAACATACGACGTTTGGCAACGAATAATCTAATGTTGTAATAAAAGATTTGACAAAATTCTAATAAAATCTGGACAGTGGTTGAAGAAAATTTTTTCCCTTTTAACTATTTAGAATGTCGTAAGAAAAATAATTAAATACTTTGGAATGAACGAGCAGTTGAGTTTTAGACTGATTGCTTGACAATTTTATATCCACATTTTAAACAAAGTTGTCCATTATTAACCATATTTAATATTAACTAGCGACGAGCCCCAGCTTCAGACGGGTGCTATATGCATCCATTATACATATAAACCTTCCGTAAGAAACACTCTATTAAAAAAACCACATCAAAATCCGTTGCGAAGTTTTAAAGATCTAAGCATACATAGGGACAGGCAGACGGCGGATAGCGACTTTGTTTTATACTATGTAGTGATGAAGTGATATTTGGGGCCCGTAATACAACGAGTGTCCGTACCAGTGAGTTCCTTCAGGTCGCGGTGCGTGAGGTCGAGCTTGTCCTTGACGGCGGAGTCCATGAGCGACACGGCGGCGTCCCAGTCGCCGCGGGACGACACGCAGCGGTCCTGGAGCGCGTTCAGCTGGAGCACTCGGAGCACCTGCGATATACATCACTGGTTTACTCGTTACTTCACTCTTAACTTAATGAGAAACACAGAGGATTAGATGTTGTATAACATATATATATATATAAGTGTAAGCTATGCTTCGGCACGAATGTCGGTCCGGCCGGCTCGACCGGAGTGATACCACGGCCTCACAGAAAACCAGCATGAAGCAACGCTTGCGTTGTGTTTCGTCATGTGAGTGAGGTTACCGGAGGCCCAATTACCCTCCCCTTCCCCAATCTCCCCAATCCCTGAATCCCCAATGATCATCAAACTTCTAATCCCCAAAAGGCCGGTAACGCACTTGTAGCGCAGTGTTCCAGGTATCCACGGGCGACGCCGATTGCTTACCATCAGGTGATCCGTCAGCTCGTTTACCAGCTTATGCCATAAAAAAATACACACAAAAAGTAGACATATTGACTTTTATGTTTATTAATTATGTAAAACTTTCCGCTATTTATTAACACTCACTTTTCAGACTAACAATAAATAAATGGTCAGAAAATAGCAACTAGTGTTAAGTACAATGTTGTGACCAGTTTAACAGTGTAATTAAATATTGTACAAAGTAAAATTTCGCCTCATAAACCATAGTCCTTTCTTACTTACCACGAGAACCTACTAATTACATACATACATTGTACGTACATAACATCACCCGTTATATCCCCAAAGAGGTAGGCAGAGATACACATTACGGCACTTATGTTATGAGTCCCATGTAATAGGGAGTGAGCCTATTACCATGTACCGAGCAGAATTCCAGACTCCGTTTCGTGCTACAACTGAGATTTTTTTAAAACCCAGTAATACTTTGCCCGACTCGGAAATCGAACCCGAGACCCCTTGTCTGTCAGTCGCGGCCACTCGGCCAATGAGGCAGTCTACCAATTTATCCCACGAAAACATATTCCTAAGAGCCTATAAGGCCTCTTCTCACACGAAGAAGGTTTGAGCATTAATCGCGGCGCTTCCTCAATGCCGGTTGGCGATTTCAAACTTATAATTAGAAATTATAAGCTATGGTTTCCTCACGATGTTTTCCTTCACCGTTTGTCAGAGGTGTGTAAATAATCTTAAAAAGCAGATATAACTCGGAAAAAGTCACATTGGTACTTGCCGTTGGTAGGTTTCGGACCTGGGCGACCAACCTCTTCATATTCCCTACATGACCATAACCATCACATACTCACATCCTGCGCCCTGTCCTCCCACTGGTGCCTCCTAAGTGCCTCCTCGACGGCCTCCTTCTTGACAGGTTCATACACGGGGTCGGAGTCCTGCGCTCTATTCATTAGCTCCGTAAACTCCTCCCTGAGCGCCTCCCGCCCCGCCCTTATTGAAGCGTTAGGTAGCTCAGACTCCGCCCATTCGCGTAGTTTTATGTCAACGGCTGTGTTGAATTTGTCTAGAATAGAATATTAATTAATGTAAGCTTAAGTTTTTAAAGTTCTTAGTACTTTTGCTTCTCATATGAATCTATGGTATGTTCTGAAGAATAGACTGTATTGTATTAAACTGAAAAACTAAATTGATTTGGCAATTTAAATGTAAAAATTTGGAATTCGTTATTAAATGTTGATTATTTATTGGGATTTCGATAAGTTTTTATCGTAAAAAACGTTGCCCCACACTAGGATTTTCTCCTATGTCGTGGTTACGTTTACAAACATACAAGTTCACATACACATGACACCCAAACCCCGAACAACAATCTGTGGATCACACAGAGAGTTGTTCCGTCGTGCGGGAATCGAACCTGCGACACGTTGCGCGGCAGCCAGTTGCCCAGCGACCGCGCCAACCATGCAGAAATTAGTTAAATGTTGATACAAAATCGTGATTTTTTTGTTATACCTACACCATGTATCCATGAGTCAATGTATGAACTTAAAATCAAATTAGTCAAATTAATGTAACGTAAATATCAACCACTAACTTTAAAAAATATGAAACAAAGTAATGTAAGAGAAATGGCTCTATTTAAATCTATGTATTCGTAATGTATATGGCAACACATCGACTCAACATAATTTAACGATGGCAATACTATGACTGAGTATAATTATTGACAGTGGCAACACTATATAAAGGTGGTATCTCACTGGCGTCGTAATCGTATGGGTCCAGCCATATTGTTTGAGCACTTTGTCCTTCTGCATTGCAAACTTTTACTGGTCGAGGCACTGGTAATGTGGCTAGGGAGCAAATACTACGTTTTATGTTGATATTATGAAAAAAAAAAGATTATGTGAAAATGTAACTCTATGATGGTAATTGACATAGAACAGGGGTACCCAATGTTTTCCTAGTCTAGGACCACTTTTAGTATTAATTTTTTTTCATTCACTCATAAAACACATACATGACATCATGCCTTTTATCCCCGAAGGGGTAGGCAGAGGTGTACATTATGCCACTGTACAATGTAACACCCACTTTTCATTATTTGTGTTATGAGTCCCATGTAATAGAGGGTGAGCCTATTGCCATATACCGGGCACAATTCCAGACTCCGTGCTACTACTGAGATTTTATAAAAACTGGGTTTTTTATTGTACTTTGCACAACCCGGAAATCGAACCGGAGATCCTTTGCCCGGCAGTCGCATTTGTGACCACTCGGTCAACGAGGCTGTTTCATCAAACAAGATCAGACTTATAAAAATAGTGACTTTTTATTATTGATTATTAGAATTAGTTGCTCCTGTCCGCTGTCTCCTTTGATATAAGTTTAATTCGAGGTTCAAGCATATCATTTATTGGACAAAGAATTCTTGTCTACATTTTTTTATATTCTCCGGACCATTTTTTGTCATTTGCGGACTTTTAATGGTACATGGACCTCCAGTTGGGGACCACTGACATAGAAGAATAGTTCTATGGTAAAAATCAACGGACGATGCAATGAGTCTCAATCGCGTAAGTGAATTTTGTGGGCATTTTAATACTGATAGAAATTCATGGAATAGACTGGTAATTCGTTGTGATCGGATTATTCTATCCTTTCGAACTTTAGGGAACATAGAGCTCTTTTTTAGAAACTACATATAACATTAGTTTTAGAGTCTTACTGCGACTTGAAATTAGTAGTTTTTCTCAATATCTCACAAGAGTAAACTGGTTTTTTAAATCTAGTAAGTCTCACGACATTAATTGGGATTTCAAGCTGTATTTTTCAATGTAACCTATACTTATATGAATCAAAATCTGGAGTGGTCAGACAAAAACATTTGCTTACGACCTAATTTCGTGCTTAAACTGTACAAATACATACCAACATCCCCCATAGCGTTAGCAGCGGCGGGCAGATATATATTGGCGAAGACTCTGTCGGCGGCGGCGCTCCATAATGCCGTCGCGAGGCGCGCCTCCCAGGCGGGCGGCGGCACGGCCGACAGCTCGGCCGACTGGTCCAGCAGCTCCGCGCGCGCGCGCTCGAACAACTCGTCGCGGTCCAACTCGCGCTGTCTGGGGCACACGTACCAATCTATCAATACCGGCCGGCGAACAGCTCGACAACCACGTAAGCGAATTAGTAAATACTAAGGCTATGTATAAACAAGAACGTTAAGATTTTTAAATCCGCTTAAAGGAACTAAATCCTCAAAAAAAACAACATCAGAATCGGTTCAGCTAATCGCGGACAAACATATCTATGTATGTATGCCAAACTGAGACACTCTTTTTTTTCAGTTAAAAACCATGTTTCAAACCCCTCTTTTTTGAAGCCAGGTATTAATATACTAAAACCTTCTGAAACTGCATCAAAATCAGTTCAGCCAATCACGAGATAATAGCGCACAAACATACACACATACAAACATATCAACCTGAGAACCTCCTTCTTTTTGAAGTCGGTTAAACAATACCCAACATACCTGGGGAAAGTGTTCTTCCACTCAGTCTCGAGGTTGAACCTCATGGCCTTGAATGCGTCGGCCTGTTGTTCGACGGAGGCGCGGACCATGCGCCAGAAGCAGTCCGCCACCGCCAGCGACAGGTTGCGGGTCGTCACCTGCGACGCCGTCACCAGCCCGTCTCTGGAGCGACGGCAATCGTTTAAGAACGCTTTATCAACCATCTTTTAAATAATGTCCCTTATAATCAACCTTAGTCAAATTTTAAATAACCCCTACGACCCTGGTCCGAAAGTGGCTAGTTTCCGAGATATTCAACATTTTCGATTTTGGTGAAAAAATCCCGATCGAACTAGACCAGAGTCCTCAGGGCTAATTTTGTAGGAAATTAATTGTATTATCATCTCCCGAGAGGGATACGTCGAGTTACAAGTCACCCTGTATAGCTAAACTCACGTGGAGATAACTGATACAAATACTAATTAGATTGTAATTACATATAATAATATTTGCGACTCACTTGAACAGCTTGGAGGAGCGGAAGAACCTCTCCTCGTACTCGCGTATGTTCTGTATGGAGTCGTCCTTGCGAGAGCGGCCGGTGACCACGGCGTAGTAGCCCAGCGCCTTCATCGGGAACAACTTGCCTTCCAGGATGCGACGGATCTGGTAGGGGAGGAGATTTTAGAGAATACAACTTATTTATTTATTTACGGCCGATTTTAATTATCATACTCCGAATCGATCTTCATTTTAGACAGAAACTATCAAATTAGTGTGAAAAATTGATTTTAATGCGGAGGTTTTCGAATAAGATCCGTATTTAAAATCGGTTATTACTCTGGCGACGTTAAGTTGGCTGGTGAAGTTAGGACCTGAATTTTGTTGGAAACTATTCGGAGAAAGAAGTTAGTTTGTAAAAAAACGTGACAATTATCCACGTTTATATTTCCAAAAACTAACGCAGTACTGTGTATTTGTGCAGTACATTCGAAATTTATTTTATTTTTAATTTATGTACACACATACAACACAATGGACAACACATATATAAAAACGAGGTACATAGGTCATTTAGATGTAGATGAGACAGTGTGGCTATTCAATTTAATTGGTTTAGTAGTTCGAAGTGAAAGCGGAACAAATAAACAAACTCACTTTCCGATTTATAATATTAGTAAGGAAGTAAGGATTCAGACATTTAAAAATAATATGTATTAGGATCTCCTTGGTTTATTACGAAAATTTTATAATTTGGAATTCATACATTTCATAATCTCTCATTTCATAATTTTGTGACTCTAATTATTACTTACTCTGTTTGGATTAGCGAGGTTTTCCTCAGCGAGGTCAACCTTAGTGAGTACAAAGATGGTTCTTTTCCCGGACGGGTCACAGGACGATACCAAGTCCGTCACATTACTGCGCTCCGCGTCCACTGAGCCATCCTGTAAAAAAATAAGAAGAAATGAATTAGTTTGGATTATTACGCGTTATAATAAGTGTGGGAGAGCCATGTTTCGGCACGAATGGGCCGGCTCGATCGGAGTATATCAAGCGACGCCGATTGCTTACCATCAGGTGATCCGTCTGCTCGTTTACCGGCTTATCCCATAAAAACTATGTGATGGTCACATTTGACTGACAATTTAGGAAATAATTCGTTAATAGCACAATTTGACAAGAAATGGTTTAAACGGAATGTTTCGACTTTCTGGGCAGTGAGGTACTACAAATTATTTGGTCGAAAAATATGGTAATGGAATTGGGAAAGGGGAGTCTTTCCGAATTTGCATAACAATGGTATTTTAAACACTAGTAACGCTTTGTAAAAATATTTTTGGTATGTAATACCAAAAATATTTTTGTACATTCTCCAAGACTGAGATATTAAGCAAAATATTGTCTTACTTTGAGTTAGTCTTTAATCATATTATTAAAATCTACAAGCGCATTACTAGAATAGGGATGATGACAGGGTATGAAAATTAAAAATCTAATTAGTCCGTCAGTTAGATAATCAAAAAATATTAGACACGTATTTTTTTATTTTGTCGTATAAGAAAACAATACTTAGATAAAACAAATCAAAGTTTAGGAGTGGGAGCTAAAACGTTATTTCTACGTATAAAATGTACATAGAAGTGACGTCACGCGAAATTTCAAATCAATATATCATCGAAACTATTCGTTTCTGTAAGAAAATAAGAATTACGTGTCTAATGTTTTGAAATAATCTACCAGATGGAGATTAAAATAAAAAAATGTCATCTACCCTATTGATTTTTGGTCTAAGAAACCATTTTCTGCAAAAAATAAATAATTACTAACCTGTATGCACAATATGATGGCGTTGGGATTGTCCATGTACTGTTTGGTCATCTGCTTGATGGCGTCGCGCGTGTCTGATGCCATGTCTACTGTTTGAGTCTACAAGGAGAAATTATTATTATTAGTATAACGGTTTTTTTAGAATTTTAGTTTTAATAGGGTGGCGCCACTGGCGAGTTATGTCTTGTATAGGAGTGATTTGAGTTCATAACGTCATAGACGACTTTATGAATAGATTGATATGAGAATGAATTCATTCATTCAGCTTCACTAGTGAAATCGTCACAATCTCAAAGAAACAAGGGATCTCAGGATCGACTCAGGTTTAGCAAATTTTGACTAAAAGACGGTATTAAATTAACAGATTATCTGTATCCAGGATTGTTATCTTTAGGCAGGAACCTTGTGTGTTTATTATTATCTTATACTATTATATAAAGCGGAAGAGTTTGTTTTTTTGTTTGAACGCGCTAATCTCCGTAACTACAAGTCTGATTTGAATAATTTTTTTTGTGTTCGATAGCGCATTTATCGAGGATGGCTATAGGCTATAAAACATCACGCTACGACCTATAGGAGCTGAGCAGAGCGAGTGAAACCGCGCGGAAGTAGGTAGTTTTAATTAATAATAGTTGCAGTAAAAAGTGTAAATACTAACAGATATGACTCCAGGCAAGTCCACGAGTACCATCCGATGCAGGCCGGGGCCCTTCACGGACATAGAGATGACGTCGGTGGACACGGTGCGCCCGCCGCGGACACTGTTGCGCATGCGCAGCTCTACCTCTCTGCGGAGATACACGGGGTTTGAGGTTTACAATCTCTACTACCAAAGAGTAGAACAAATTATTTATTTACAACCAAGTAAAAAATGGTTCCATCCTGAAGTTTTGAAGAATTACGCTGGACTACTTATTAAAAATATAGATGTCCTAACTAGATGGTCATAATAACTGTATCATGACGAATTCTCATCAATCTGGCCATCATGGCCACTGGGCCAGCGAACCAACCTATTCTCATTAGTCAATTTTTAAATTGGATTTTCGACTGTATACCAAAATAATAAAGTTAAAAATATGATGACGGAAAGGAGTAGTCTGATTTACTATCCACAATTTTTTTTTGCCTGTTTAATAGAAAAAGTAAAGGCTATCAATAAAGAACATTATAACTCACTTCCTTAAATCAGCTAAATCTGATTCCTTGTTGAGATCAAACTCCCGCGCCGAGTCTCTAAACTGCGCCACGTGGTACGGACCTTCTGACAGAGTCACCTTCACTGGAGCTCTGTAACGAAATGCAAACTGGGTTTTATGGGCACTCATACCGCATTCTGTCTCTTCTGGCTGGACATGCATGGACTGGAACTGTCAGCACTGCTGTATGTTTTATATTGCTTCAGTTCTTTCACATAACATGGTACACTTAGGTTTCTTTTATAGCATAAGCCGGTAAACGAGCAGACGTATCAACTCATGGTAAGCAATCAAGTGCGTTACCGGATCTTTTGGGGATTAGGTATTTGAGGATTGTTGGCGGAGATTCGGGAAATAGGGGAGGGGTAGATGAACCTCTGGTAACCTCACTCACCACAAAACACAATGCAAGCGTTGTTTCACGTCGGTTTTCTGTGAGGCCGTAGTATCACTCCGATCGAGTCGGCACATTCGTGCCAAAACATGGCTCTCTCACATTTATTTAGAGTCAGTCAGTCAGTCAATTATTTGATATGCTTTGTGATATAAAGATAAATAAATAATAAAAAACTAGATGCAGTGGACTACCACGTCACATGATCAAATAAATGTCATAATTACCTAGTACACATCTCCCCAGCTCCTCGAGGAAATATCCTGGCCTGTGCGATCATCTCCAGCACAGAAGTCTTCCCAGCAGACTGGTCCCCGACCACTACTACTCGAGGCAGTCTGTCGGTCTCCCCGGCCTCCCAGCCTGACAACTCGTCCAGTACCGCTGAGTACATGTCTATTAGGGAACGCTGGAATTGAAGATAACTGTTTTACTATAGGTTTTTAGCTATTAGAGAAAAAGTTCACAACTGTTGGGTTAAAGGTTTAATAAAGGCGGAGTTTCGCAACTGGTTCTCAAAACAAAGGTCTTAAATCGAAACGAGATCGCGTTCGGCGCTCCGATTGGCCGGCACGAATGAAATAGCCAATCACAGCGCCAAACGCGGTCTCGTTTCGATTACTTTAAACGTAAAATAAACAAGGCCTCAGATCCTTTTATACATGGAGGTATTTTTTTAAATGCTTGCACTACACTTGGATTTCCTCCTGTGTCGTGGGTGCGTTTACAAACATACAAGTTCACATACACATGACACCCAGACCTGGAACCACAATTTATGTATCACACACAAAGTTGCACCGTGCGGGAATTGAACCTGCGACATGTTGCACGGCAGCCAGTTGCCAAGCCCCCGCGCGAACCGTGCAGTGCAATTGGAATTCATAATTAATTATTTTCCAAATCTTGCTTATAACAAGGTAGACCTGTGATAAACCACCAGCCTAATCTGGGAGTCATTGGGGAAAGACTATGCCCAATAGTGGATATCTTATGGCTGACATAATGCTAAAGAGGGTTGCAAAACGTTACCTTGATCTTCCTAGGCGCAGGCTGCCTCCCCTGCCTGAGCAACATGTTCTGTTGTCTAAGTTCCCTGTTCTCCTGTTCCAGCCGCTGCAGTTCCCGCTGGTACCTGGCTTGTAAGGCCAGGACTTCTTCTTGGAGTACGTGGACACGTTTCTCTGAAGTTTAGGAAAATACAAGGATGATCGAATTTGAGTCTTACAATATAAGACATAAGGTAAACATTGAATTAGCAAACTATGTCTTTGTCCCTAACTAAAACAACTAGAGACCACTTATTGATCATTATACTTCTTTAGCTTCCATTGCATTAATGCACCTGATTGTTTAAGTAAGTTAAGAGTACGTATTGATACAAGAAACAGCCTGAGACCTACAACGGCATTTAAACGTAACTGTCCAACTCGTTACTCGACTAGTTACAGGCCACATAGGGGGCCCATAACCAGTTACGAGAGTAAACTGTACAATCTAATCTAAATATTTAATATATCGCTTAATAAAGATTAAAAAAAAAACGTAGAATATTAGAAAAATAACAGTAGACGCTTACCGTAAGCAGTAGCGTCATCGCCACCAGACTTAACGGAGGATGACGGTACGGGTCGACTCTGTAAGTTGTTCACGATCTTCTGTGGTTCTTCTGTGGAATAAAAGATAAACTTTCATTAACTAAAGAGATAGTTCGAAAACTTTGTGAAGAAGAAAAAAGGACAAGAGCTCTAAGAAGATTATAAGAACGGCTTAAAGTCAATGTTATAACATTTTATTAACAAGATACATTAGTTAAGTAAAATGTCATTAATACGCCACAGTATTCACATGCAACGAAAATTAAAATTTAAGTTTTACGTAAGTTTAAGGTTTATGCAATTAATATAAAGCCAAAACAATGACTTTAATAAACACGTGCATGCACTAAAATCGCAATAACTGAAATAAATTAATCAATAAAACACACACAAAGTGAAACTGAACCATGAACACATCACAAATAAAGTAGATATCAGCGTAACACAAAAAATATAAAAAGTAAAGAAAACTGAACCACAAACACAGTAAAAATAGAAGCTATAATAGCACAAACATACCGAGACCGGCGGCGTTATTGGCTGCGGCGGCGGCGACGGCGTCTTCATACCGTTGCTGCAGCCAATCACGGAGCTCGTGCGCCCGCGCTAGCCCCGCCTCCCGCAGCCGCGGATCTATGTGCACCGACAGCGTCAGTGGGACACCTAGCGATAGCCAACCCTGTACTGCCGTCACTGCACTACGCCACTCTACTGCCACTATGCCGGGTATTGTACTACTTCATTTATGGTTAAGTGTGGGAGAGCCATGCTTCGGCACGAATGGGCCGGCTCGACCAGAGTGATACCAAGGCCGAGCAGAAAACCGACGAGAAACAGCGCTTGCGTTGTGTTTCGTCATGTAAATGATATTACTGGAGGCCCAATTTCTCCCCCTCCCCAGTCTCACCAATGCCCGAATCCTATACAATCCTTAAATTTCCAATTCCCAAAAGGCCTTGGTGTTTCACGTGTCCATGGGTGGCGGCGATTGCTTACCATCAGGTGATCCGTCTGCTCGTTTACCGGCTTATGTCATAAAAAAATGGTTTCATGGGATATAAAATGGGAGCAAAAGAGCTGAAGAATCACCAAATGGTAAGCCAACAGCGCCGTCCACGAATGTCGACAAGAGCGTAGACTTTTAAAAAGGAGTAGATAGGCTCTTTTCTTGAATAGGATGTCTCATATTCTTGACACTTTATGATAGGCAGACATTTATAAATTGGTTATGAGCAACTGGAACTGCTGTCACATCAGTGCCACTCATAACACAGTATCTGGTTTACTATTCACTTTGTTTTGATAGTAAAGAATTTGTGTAATATAAGGTATAATCAAAAAGTTTGAAAATCTATGGTATATGGCAACCCAGATTCCTTGAATAATTTATTTATGATCATTACCAATACTCTACATAATAAACATTACACTAGGTGGAAAGATGAACCAACACTAAGTCGAAATAAGCCATTAATGTGTTGATATTTAGATTTGCCGCCTAGAGGTAGAATTTTAATACATTTTGTTTGAGACTTAAGTAAAAAATTTAATTTCTATGTCCAGTCAACAAATATTAAGAACAAATAAAATTTCTAGCAATTGTATTTGTCTAAGGGTTTAGTAGAGTAGGTTTTACGTTAACGTAATTGAAACGGGACTTCGTTCGACGCTCTGATTGGTGGGTTCATTGGAGCCGGCCAATCAGAGTGCCGAACGCATAATCCCCTATAATGTCATTATCAAATACTAAACAATACCAAGGAACTAAGGTTTTATCTATTTCCTATCAATATAAATAACTACCAATGAAATGGGCTAATCACTAACCTTACAGATAACACAAATAACAATAACAATGCTTTAATTTAAAGGCTAACAAATGCATACTATAGAATTACAAACTTTGGCAGTAATATCTATATAGTAATACAATAATTCTGCACCTTAGAAGGATAAGAACCAAAGTGCAATTTAGCACCTAATCCCTAATACCATTAAAGTGCAAAATTAAGTTAAACTTTAAATAACTGTGTTAGCCTTTAAATAAAAGCATGTTTTATATGCACATAAGTGCTAATATAGGCTTGTGAGTTGTGTATTACATTGCACACACATAAACAACACTCGGTGTGTGAAAACATATTGTCAAGACAATGGGTATCAATAGAACTATTTGTACTCATATTACAAACTTTTTGATGTATGTCTGATGAGACAAACAACAATTATCACCCCCATTACCTACATCATAAAGTTTATATTGCTATAACTCACCAATCTGTAGGTTATCTCCGATCTTAGACTTGGCGTTGATGAGAGTGGTTGTGAACTGATCCCATTGCTCATTGTCCGGAAGCAGGTCGTTCAACCAGCCCATGTCGGGTAGACCATCCTTCCATTCTGCATATTTCTGGAATTGTAGTTTATGACCATGTTTAATGAATGTACAATACTGTATTCGTAATCTCACATGCAATAATTTTGGACAATGTCATCAGTTTAATCAATACTTAATAGCTATATCATTATATTGCAAATGTGATATGCAGTTTTAATCAAAATGAGAATTTTCCGATAAGCCAAGGGATTTTTTCCAGTGTGCATATCAATATTAGGTAACAATTGAATATTGGTCAACTTAATTAACTCGTCGAGTACCGTCATTATAGACACAATTATAGAACAATAGGTTGCGGTCACCGGTGACTGCTTGGTGTTTGACAGTTTAACTTGGTTAACAAATAGCTTCACTTTAAATTTTTTTTGTTGATGTTCAAAAGTGCCTTCCTGGTCTAATTGATATAAATGATTTAATTTGATAAAGATTGTGGATATTGGCTATAAAAAAACCCCTAAAATAAAAAAAATAAAAAAGAACTATTTTATTTATAGTTATAGGTACATAATAGGTTCAAACCCTAAGTTTCATCTTTTGCGTAATAGTATGTCTGTCTGTCTGTACAAATATGTGACAAAAACCACTTTACCAACCTTATTCAATGTCATACCACCACCCAAAGCGCCTCCGAGGACTAGATACCGTATCTTCAACATGCCCCTGACAGCTCGTGCAACCAGCATGCCATATTTCCTTCGTTGCACATGACTTGTGTCTATAGGCTTGTGGAGAAGTACACTGCGGCCCGTCCAAATTGAAAATGCAACTGCTCGTTTGTCTACAATAGTCCATTGTGTTGATTTTTTAAATGCTGACCTGAGGAGCGGAGGTAATTACAGTTATTAGTAGTTGATAATTACTTAATTTAAGGCAATTATATTTCTTTTATTAGAAATTGAGGGAAGCCTATGTTTAAAGGCCTTAGTATGAGTTTAATTTACGTTTAAAGCAGTACAAAAAAGTATGTGTTTGGTGCTCTGACTGGCCGGCTCCAATGAACCAACCAATCAGAGCGCCCAATGCGGTCTCGTTACGATTACTCTGAAACAAATTCATTCTAAGGTCTTTGTACTAAGTGTCCTGTGTGAGACGTACTTGTATTGTTTCACTTTTAAAGTGTGATGTGAATATTGATCATTGAAATAAATTTTGAATTGAATCAATTGCTCAGTAAACTACATTTTTTATAGACAGCAAATATACTGCTTTCATTATTTAGTGACTACACTAAAATTCTACTCTAGTTTTGGTATTGTTAGATTAAAAAAAAATAAGAAACATTGTAAAAGATAGTGACTTGAGAAAATTATAAGTATTGTTTCTAATAAGAACACACTGGATTCTACATACTTTTAATTTTGAACTTGAAACACTAAGGAATCTGCGTGTTCTGCGTAAATCAATATACTTAGCTTGGCAGGTAGGTTTTAGGTCAGCAGGTTTCAAGGTCGACTCTCATAACATATTACAAAACACCGAAACGTTTGATAACACGGTGAATACAGGATAAAGAGAAGCCGGCATACATTTCTAAACCCTAAGGAAGTCCGTAAAATGCCAACCACAAAGGGATAAGTACTAGGATGATATGAATTACGAAGTCATAGGTCAGAAACGAAGGTTAATACAACCACTCACCTCATACGATTGTGTAGTATTCTCGACATGTTTACGTAATACTTCAACTTTATTTAATATTTCATAACCCTTCAATAGGCTTTCGGAAAAATAAATTAAAAATATGTTCTCATTTCATAACCTCCACCGGTCCAATGAAAAAATATATTCACGTAATAACAAATCAGATATTTTAGTGTATAATGTGTTTTATCGAGTAAATACGAAACAATCAACGTGTAAATAACTATAAATTACTTCATATTTTGAATATTGACAAATTACACATTTCAAAGGACATTTTCGACTTCATTTTTGATCTACGTTTTGTTTATACGTTTTGACAACAGATTCTACAGCGAAATAAATCTTCATGTTCTGTTTTACATTAACTCAACTTCCACACTAATATACTTCACCAAACTTTTATGAAACTTTATTCCTATTTTATGTTGTTATTTTTTGATTAAAATTTTTTGGATATTTCAAAATATCGTTTAGTTTTCTCAGAGGCAAAATGTCGCAGAATGATATCTTATTGGAAACGTCAAAATTACGTCATTTTATGTCAAATGGCGACTTGTTTTGCCAACTGGACAAAATCCTGTCACTTGTAAAAATAATGCAATTTTCTTATTGTTTACATCTGTTATTTCCAATTATTTCCATTTCAGTACTTTAGTGTGATATGTGACGTTAACCATACACGTTAAAAATGTCGTGGCTAAACTTAAACCACAGTTTAAACAGTCTAAAAGGCCAGATTACAAATTTTGCATCTGAAGTGTTATCTGAGAGTCCTGCTCAGGATGTTGCTAATAAAAGTTTACAAGAAGACTCTTCTGCCACAGAACTAGAGGAAAAATGTCGAAATCAGGAGCTTGAGGTGAGTCTAGTTTAAATAACACCTATTTAAGTATTCCAATTGACAGCTGACTTTAAGGTTATGTTTTTATATTTTTTTATTGTTATACTGAGACAAGTAATGATACAACATGTAATCATCCTCTCTAATTCATTCGAGATTGCATCACTGTGCAAAAAGTATTAACGCAATGTCGGAATTGGGGCCAGGATTACATAAACAAACTTATTCTAATTGTTATTTTGATATTTTTATCTCTTTTTGGCTTAGGGCAAAGCATATGATTGCTATTTACATTACTGAAACAATCTTATTAGGATTCTTAAAAGGAGGTATTATTCCACAACACACATCTTTAACTATAACTGTAATGGTTTCTAGAATATGTAACATAGACTAGAATTGATAATGATATCAAATGAATGCAAATTATATTTGTAAACCAAACAGTAGCTAGTTGTAACATTATATTTGTTTCGCAACATCTTCAACCTGAATATTTTATTAAATAGTTACTGGTTTATTAGTATTCATTTATAGCTGGTCAGTAGTATCAAGTATGGCCTTGTTGACAGGCTAATATTTTATCACACATTAAATTAGAGTTCGTACAAGTTAGTTATGTGTTATGTTTGTTATGTAACATCTACAGTGTATAAACCTGTTGATTTAGTAGGTTTTTAAGTTATTTGTATTTTATTTAGCACTTATAGATCAAATTCTTTGGATTACTATAAACATTTTGGTGTTTATATGTTGAATTTCATTAAGGTTGTTTAAAACATAAGAAGTTCTATAAGTATAAGCATGATATTACTTTGTCTAAAATCATTGTTATGTTATTTTTTACTTCTGATGTGGAATCAGACACATTTATAATCTTATAAGAATATAAAAAGTTTTTAAGTACTTTCATTCCGCAAAAGAGTAAGCAGAGGATTTTTAAAAAGAACTTTGCACCACACTAGGATTTTCTCCTGTGGTCATTGGGTGTGTTTAAAAACATACAATTTCACATACTAGACAGTGACACTCAGATACAAAAAAATGTGCATCTGGATTAAAGTGCAAATCAAATATGCTACATGTTTTACATCAGCTAGCCACTAAGCCACTACATCAAATATGGAAAACCTGCGGTAGAAAAAAGCTTGATAAAATAAAAGATGACTCAGTAATTGATCCCGCTCACGCTGCAACGCAGACAGACCTAATGGCATTTAATAAAAAGTAGATTTAAAGTTAATTAAACAGTTGGTATGGAACATGGAACTTGTTGTTCTAGTTGGATAAAGTAATGTTGATACTTTGTTATACGAAAGTGTTAGTAGGATGGTGTCTCGAAATGTAGCATTTGGTGTTAATAAACGCTCCTTATGGCCGAAATTTGTATTTTTGACATTCGTTTTATAGAGTTTCTGTGAGTAGTAGCACGAAGGCTGGAATTGTGCCTTGGATATTTATAGCAATAGGCTTACCCTGTTTTTTACCCTGTTAATTTTTGTTATTTTAATTTTGAAAATGCTAGAATAATATCACTGTACCTCTATATATATATTTTTTTACTGTTTTTCTGTTATTATTATTAAATGTATAATATTTTATTAGTCACGGGCAAGTGCTGAAAATCAGCGCCGCGACTCGAGCACACTTGTGTCACGGCATTTAAGCTGAGCTCTTGCCTTTTTGCGCCGTCTTTACTGTATTGTTTTTTTTTTATTTTATTTTTTTTGTGTTATTGTACCTTGTGACGGTGTGCAAATAAACAATTTTTGTTTCTTTCTTTCTTCTTTCTACCCCATATTCCATGGGACTCATAACATAAATAATGAAAAGTGGGTGTTACATTGTTCAGTAGCACTAAGCCCCGTAATGTGCACCTCAGCCTATTCATTCGGGGATAAAATGTGTGATGTTGTAAAAAAAATAATTCTGTCAAATACATAGATCCTTTAGAGAAGTGTTGTAGTGTGTCTTTAGCGGGTCCCATATAAAAATTGTTTTGGGCCCTTAGAAAGATTGATGATTTCTCACAAAAGAAAAAAAATTGGTGCAATATTAATAATTTTGTGTGGAAACCGGAATACTTTCCTGGCAACTCCCGCTGCCCAAATGATCGGACTATGATTAGGTTCTTTAGTTTTTCTAACGTTCCTACCAACTTTTCTTTTATGGGATAAGCCGGTAAACGAGCAGACGGATTACCTGATGGTAAGCAATCGGCGCCGCCCATAGACACCTGAAACGCCAAGGCGTTACAAGTGCATTAACGCCCTTTTGGGAATTTAAGGATTGTGGAGGATTCAGGGATTAGGGAGACTAGGGAGTAATAGAGCCTTCAGTAACCATTCTTATCTGCCGAAAGCTGTAACTATACATCTGCTATCAGAGGCCTTAGTACGAGTTTGTTTTACGTTTAAAGTATTCGAAACGAGACTCCATTCGGCGCTCTGATTGGTTGGTTCATTGGAGCCGGCCAATCAGAGTACTAAGGCCTCAGAGCGCCGAACGCTTACTCGTTTCGTTTTTAACGTAACGTAACGTAAACTGGTACTAAGGCCTCTGATTGGCCGGCGCCAATGAACCAACCAATCACTGCGCCGAACGCGGACTTGTTACGACTACTTACGTAAAACAAACTCGTACTAAGGCCTCTGAACCTTTTCGATAGGTCGTCAGTTCTTGATTCCCCCGTCTCTTAGTCGTTTCCCTCACTGCTGAGGATCGTGACTACTTCAAATCTTGTCCACTAGATGTCGCCGTGTGTCCGTTACCGCAATATGGTAGTTGACACTGTTGACAGGTAGTCAAATTCAATAATTTTTATTGAAATGTCAAAAACGATACTTTTCTATGAATTTTGTATTGAATCGCAACTTATGACGTCATTATATTTTTGCGTCAAATAGCATACTAATTTTCTTAAAATTAGCGAGAAAAAATCGAAAAGTATTTCGATTTATTTTTAAATTATTTATTGCATTGAAAAGTTGAAACAATTTATTTTAAACGTAGGAAACTAGCCAATGGTAGGTACATAAAGAATACTATTTATCGGTTACAAATTAATTAAATGTGTGATTATTACGTAATGCTGATAAGCAACAGTACTACGATATGTTTCAAAGTTTGCTGAACTTTTGCCAGTCTTATCCTAATTCGTTACGATTTCCGCTGTTTTGTATATTGCGAACGTATTTTTATTAGGAGATAGGAATTAGGAACTTGCCTTTTCCGACAAATAATAGAGGTAAAGGTCGTGGCCATAAACTTTAAAGAATTGGGTTTGCTTTTTACTCAATAACATTCTTTGTACTATACTCATGTTATTCCATTTTTTTTTTTGAGGAGGGAAAATCATCAAATGACTGCTCCCGCCTTGGTGAGGCGGGAGGGAGTGTCAGACTCTTACTGACTAAAAACCACCCCGTTCCTTCTCCTGCACGTCGGGCCGGAGCCCCGGTTACCCGTTAGGTTCTCCGCGATTCCGACATGTTATTCCCTAGGGCCTACAGAACAATAAATAAAACAAATGAATAACTCGTGCTCCATTGTAGACCGCATCATCGCTTACCAACAGGTGAGATTCTGGTCAAACGTCGGCCCTACAAATGTATTTTTTTTTTTATTATCTGTTATTGATTTTCTCTATTGTGGTACCTATCTCTAACATCAGTACACGATGCATTTACATAGATAGATAGGTATGTACATACATATCGTCACGTCTGTCCCCCATTGGGGTAATCAAACCATAGTCGATTGAGGGTGCCTTTAATTTATCGCAGTATTAAATATAGGTACAGTTTAATTTTGTTATGTTTTCACTCGCTATTCGGTTAAGTTTTGTTATTTGATTTCGTCCAAGAATTTTATTGTTTACTCGCTGGCCCGGCAGTTTTTTCTCACCTTATAACCCTGGACTCCCTCGAACATTTCAATACCAAAATTACCCAAATCGGTTCAGCCGTTCTTGAGTTTTAGCGAGACTAACGAACGGAAATTGATTTTTATTTATATAGATTAGTTTTTAATTTTATTGTAAACAATTATAGAGTGGTAGTATATTTGGATTTTAGATATGTTCATTGTAAGTCACGGGGTGACATTATCACTATGTAATTAAATCCCTTATTAAATAAAGATTAAAAAAAAACTATAGAATAGTTAATATGTATAGTTATAGCTCTAAATAATAGTTATAAATTTCAGCTGACATTAAATTTTGTAACGTTTTAAATTGCTGCGCCCTAACAGGGTTATGTACTGAATTAGTTGTATGTAATACTTCATATTATATGTAGGTATATTGTGCAATATGAATAAATAAAATAAATGTACACGATGAATTTAAATAATTCAATGGCAATAAGTGTAATGCAAATATAACACAAATGCATGTTATTCCTCGAAAAAGTATCGCACACGTACTTTAGACAAAAATAAACCTTCAACCTAGGTAAAATAAGTTCTTTTTTTGTTTAAATGGACATAACATATTTAGGGATTTTTATTAATACCATGATGTTTGTTTACGCTTCGTAAGGGTACGTCCACAAATGATTGGTACTCGACCACCATACTATAAATATAATATACACGTATGTAGATTGTGTCCCTCTCTAACATATGTGAGTGGATAGAGATAAAGGTTCTAGGCACCACTGGCCTATAAACTATGCATAGTGTGGCTAGGAAAACAGCGAGTATGAAAAAATAGATGCAGAGCTTTTTTATAAGAGATTTTTTTTTATTAGGGTGGATGTATATATAACACTGCCAGGAATAAGATTTTTAGAGCTGATCAGAGGCCTTAGTATGAGTTTGTTTAACGTTTAAAGAAATCGTAACGAGTACGCGTTGTTGTTGATGTGTGTGCTGTTATTGGTTGGTTTATTGGCGCCGGCCAATCAGAGTGCCGAACGCGTAAAACAAACTCGTACTAAGGCCTCAGGGCAAATGACTAATAGTGATTTAAAGTTTGTCGTTGTCAACATAAATGCTGCCATTACTTTAGAGAT